ATAGGATTAATACCTTCTTTCCAATGATCGACACTGATTTCAAACGGAACATGCCAACGGTTGCCAGCCAGCTTCCTGCGGCGAATTTGATCGATCCGCTTCAAAACTAGATTAATCGTTATCTTATGCTATAATTTCAAACATCTCGACGAATCATCAACACCCAACCACGAATCGTGTTATTGTATCAACAAGGACAGTACAATCTCAAGCATCAACTACAATCAACCTGGAGGACATGGCGCTATACCGACGACGCTTCATGGTCTGTGCAATGACGCTGCTAAAGACGGGGAAGCTACTCCGAGACAAATCGTTCTACTGGCATGATTCGTTTACACTTTGGAGCTGCGATACTTGGCAGGTTAGATCCAGGCGTGGCGCAGGAATCCGACAGTTTATTGACCGCAGCCTCGCCCTTGGTGCTCAACACGGAGCGCATAGAAGCGAAGTCAATTGAGAAATCAATGGCTATGGCGGAGCTCTATGGCGGCTTGGTGACTACACATACACTGTAGGCTGCCTCAACGATTGCGCGGCGCAAGTGGCTGCTTGTGCGGCCACGTAATGACCCGGTTCGTTCCAATAAACCTGCGACAACCTCGGCTTTGAAGCTGGGCAGCCTTGTCCTCGGAAGAAGAGGGGGGCGACTAGAGTGGTCTCCATGCTACACGTAGGCTGATCCGTCGTCAGCCAGTACACGTACGTCGATAGCGCCAGCGTGTCGGCCGCTGGCTCTGTACGAGACGCAAGGTTCTTGAAAAGATGCTGGCACGCTGCGGACCTGCTTGCGGACACACCATTGCCGCTGCGCGGAAGCAGCAGGTCCCTCGTTGAAGCCGTCGTCGCACCACCCAGATAAGATGCCTGCCTTGTCTCGTGCTTGTTTTCATAACAAGAGACGTTCGTTCATGTCAAATGCGTTGCCGTCGGGTGCAGCTGCGATACGACGCGCGCAGCTGGCCCCTTGCCGATCTTCGAAGTGGGGTGCACTCGAAGTGTACGGTCGCGTATAAAATTGGGCTGACAGTGCAGGAAAGGTAATGTGTGGCACGTCTGCCAGCGTCTAATTTGGCGCCAAAGCACAACATGGCGCCTGCAACCGGCCATGATAGCCGGCTTTCTAGCGTCTCACAACCTCTGAAACCGCCACTACCTTCATACTGTTACGCCAAGCTTCGAATTTCAGCGCCTTCGGTTGGCCCTTCCGCGGGAGGTCGATCCCAATGCGCGCATGTGATTCGTCCACAGGATTTAAAACCGAAGTTCGAAGCCAAACGGCGCCAAAAAGGATCGATATCGAAGCTTGGCGCTTGGGCGTTAGGGTGCCACCCTTGTGATCTGATCATGCGGCGGCTACTACGGTTATACGCTGCGGGTTTCATTTTCATTTTCCTATTTCCTGGATCGTGGCGCCCAGAATGCTCCCGACACTGTTGCACGACCTCTTCCTCAACAAGCAGCGTGACGTTGTCTCGTGCCCCGAGACATACGAGCCAGTTGGGACGCCACTTCGCCCGCGTGCGCGCTCGACTGACGGCCTTCGCATGGCCACGTGGGACCAGAAGCGCCAGACTTGCTTCAACTGCAGACATGTCTTCCTCAAGAGCCTTAGCACGACGCCCGACTACTGTTCCGTTGATTGCAAGTCCAACGCACTCTACCTCCTCGCCGTGAGCCAAACGATCCGCGCCGTCAAGGAGGCGGCCGCGGAGCCCACCAAGGCAACCCATAGCGAGACCAAAGTTGTTCGATTCGGCGATGCGCCCACGATCGTCGCCTCGGACGCCGAGCCGGTCGTTGCGACTGTCGCCACGGACGGGGAGCTCATGAGCATCAACGACCTGGCGCTTGCGATGGGCCTCGAAGCGACTGACTACGTGCCGCAGACCTTCGCCGAGTTTCACACCAACAAGCTCGCGTGTCGCCCCGTCGAGTGGTCGTTCAGCGCGCTGTACTGAGGCTGCTCTTCTTTGCCAGCCGCGTGCATGTGTGTGCGTCCTGTATACCTTGCGTCCCGTCCTCTTGCTTAAATTAACCCCGTAACTATTTAATATTCGTCTTCGAGTTGCGTCGTCTTGTCTGTGTCGGTGCATAAAAACTTGCGAGCATGTCGCTGGTGTCATTGACGAAGGACTTCATGGGTCCCTTGCTGCTTCCAGTGGTACATAGTACAGTGTACTACACAGCGGTGACGTCGCGTGGAAAGGACACCTTAAAATGGACGGCTCGAAGGCGTTGGGCGCCCCGAGAGACGGATGGACACATGGATGCCGCGCACGACCGTCACAAATGACGGCATATTTTCATGACCACGTTAAAGGACGTTGCCAAGGGGTCCACGTGTACTGTACATATCAACTACACCAAGTACTGGAAGCACTCTAAGAATGCAGTGGACTATGCCCTGAAGACTCGGTTTGGAGCAAGCTCCGTGGACATGGCCTTTCACGCATCCTATTGAGATTCATGGATATACGTGGACAGCCAAACCATACAGCGCGCTCAAGTTGCGAAGCGGAATGATCCGAATCGTCATACAGTAAGCGCCCAGGTGAGCGCGATACCCATCAATGGGAGCGATGGGCGGTTTTGGATGCGACGCCGATGGTTCCGCATGGGAGCTCTGAGAGAGCCGCGCCGGCTTGCGGCTTCAATCAACGCATAATACGTCGCAAGGTACTACGGTCACTGCAAACCAAGGCCGCAAACCAGGTTATCAGACCAAACATTCGAGCTGCTGCGAAAGTATGTAGTACATCCTAGTTTTGGACTGCTGCGTACTATTAATAGTGAACTCCTCTCTTCCATGTGGCCAAAATTATGATTTTCAGATTTTGCTGGGGTAGGGATAGGGATTCAAATATCTGACGTGGCAGCGCCTGCGACGCTTCCCGTGGCCACCGATGACCTCACCACTTGGCGTCGTGACGAATCATTGACGTGCACGCGCCTTTCTTCTTACTACGTAGCGTACAACGTAGCAGTAGCTGTAGCAGTACTTATATTATTAATAACGTTAGTGCTTCAATGCACTAGGCGGTGCAAGAAACTTCAAGGTAGAGTGCACTCCATCGGGATATTCGATGGCGCTTGGTTCGGTGTCGCAGTGCGGGCTTCGGAACATGCTCCGAACGGTCCACAAAACGTGCGTCGCCGCGGCGAGCTCGGTGAAGTGCGTAATGCTAGTCTCCGCGCGACGTTTGCATAGTCTTCCGTCGCCCTGCGTAGTATGTGACTCATGTTTGGATGATCTTGGGACACCGAGAAAGCGACACCGGTGCAACCCGTACGCCCAGGCCGTCGTACATCGCCGAGCATACCGATATCCCGAGATTCTGTAGACCGTACTCTTGCTACTTGACGAGTTAACCATCGGGCAGCACAGCGAACAAACTATCGAGCGTGAATTGCTGAGAATATTACAGCGCTGGACGGTGCAGTCTCGCGGTCCTGCGACCGTCTGCTCATTTGCCGCCTGGTCGCCAAAAAGATAACACGAGCAAAGCTCGTGTGCCGGCTGCTGCCATCGCAGCTTTGCGTTCAGCAGCGCTATCGCCCATGAGTAACCTAGCTTCTTATGGCAGCGTCTCGAAGCGGCAAGATGGCAGCGCCCAAATGGCGTCGTAATGGCGAGCCAGGGCAATCGCACTACGATGTGTTGACAAGGTGAGTGTGGAAAATGCATATCGTAGCAGGTCCACGTCAACTGGATGCTTTCAAGTTTGTATTGGCTGGCATGTTTCACCTTGTCGCGCGCTACAGTTATGTACAAACATCATGCGTTTGCATCGCCAAGCTGGAACAAGGTGGCGAACCGCGGCCTTCTTTTCGTGCCAGGTGGCGCTGCTATTTCTTGAGCCGCTGAGGCTGCCACGTGTATACACATTTTTAGGCCGCCACGTGGTTTACGGAGCCTGTTTCACAGAGGCCAACTCCCAACGCACTTCTCAATTTCGCTCATCACCAGCACATTCGACACCATTATGCTCGCCTTTTTCAACGCGCTCGTGAAGAACCTCGTGCCGTCGACCTCGGACGCGCCGGTGATGCTGATGGACATTGAAGAAGTCGCTACCTCGTCGTTCGAGGCGGTCAAGGCGCCGACCTGGGACGACAAGCGCCAGACGTGCGCCAACTGCAAGCATGTCTACCTCAAGGCGCTCAGCCCCACCGAAAACTACTGCTCGGTCGACTGCAAGTCGAACGCGGTGTACCTCGAAGGCATCCAGCGCGCGATCCAGGCAATGAAGGACGCCGTAGCGTCGACCGACGAGCCGATCAAGGCCGCCGTCGACGTCGTCGAGCCCGTGCACGAGATGCAGCTCCGCCCAGTCGCGCTCGGTGAAGCCCACACGTTTGCCGAGTACCACACCGAGAAGCTCGCGGGCAAGAACGTCGAATGGTCCTTCAGCGCCTTGTACTAAACCTCGCGCTGCCAAACACACACCTAATTTAATCCTCCAACACGCCACTTATTTATTATGGAAACAAAGAGTCTCTTGCACCCTAGCTCTGTCAGCTCCGTCAGAATCCCTCGACACACGAAGGCGCACCAGAGAGGAGCCTACGAGCTAGTACCATGTAGTTGTCGGTCCTTTAGAGGAGGGACAATGCGTTGAAGAAACACGGATGGCTCTCTTCCAGCGTAACGATTGACTACCTGTACATGACCAGCAAGCGTACCCTTGATGACCAGTGTTGGACTCGGAATGCACCCGCATCAGGCTCGACGTGGGGCTGGCCCGGCCATATCCACGTCATGCATAGCGCTCTGCGTCAAGTGGTACCAGTCCAAGTTGGTGCATGCAGCTTGACCTACTTGTACCTTACTCTTGTTATCGCCGTGCTGCTCTAGCTGCTCACGAGGCTCACGGCGATCCAGCATCGCGCTGTGGCGGGCAACGAAGCTTGCATACACTGTGGTCATGCATAGAAAGGCCGCCAACGTACCGTCGCCGGGTGCCAGCCTCCTGCCTGTCTATGAAAGTCTTGCGAGTGGTACTCATTAGTCCAACGCTTGAAGCAGCGCCGACCGATGGAGGTCAACTCAGAATTCCAAGCAGAGACTCAATGAATAACGACACCATGTTGGTCGTAAAGCCGCCATAGGTTACACTGCCGTACGCGGCCAGTGGAGCATGCAGCCAACGCAGTGCTTGTTGTCGTCGTCGGCGCACATCTGAGCCCACGCCCATCCTCGGCACCCTCTCGAAGGCAACAGTCGCGTCATTTGTGTCGGCTCGGTCCGTCCGTGAGCCCAAGGATACGAGCGCACCTGCGACACCGCCAGTACTGGACGTTTCCGGCACCAAGCGACAGCTGCTGCAACCGGCGGACACGGCGCCTTGACCGCACATGGATGGTACGGCCGTCCAGCTGGGGCTTTTTGAATTGTACCGGCTTGTCGCGCTGTTTCGTATACCGTCCACTTGCGCGGCCCTCATGTCCTCGGCAGCAGGCGTGAAGAAACCTTCGTCCTTGCCTGCTGCAAACATGCAACGCCCATGATTATAGTACACGCTGCGAGCGAGGAGATCTCGGAGGAGAGGCGGTTGTGCGGCCGGCGGGTTTTATTCTTAGGGCAGATCGCCCCATCACATCGTTGGGACGCCCAAGTGGGTACAAACCCAGCACACACACTGACTACGATAGGCAATTGGCGCTCTCGTGGCCGCAAGTTGGACGCGAGACGCTGTGCGGGTACCAGCAGGTCCAGTTGGAATTGCCCGAAACCAGTAATACCGACAGCGACATGAGAAATGGCTTGGCCAAGCCCCGAAACATGCTGTGTACGCAGAACAGTGCACGCGCGTTCGAGGCTCGACATCGTTCAACTCTCACTTGCTAATCTGCGTCGTCCAAGTAACGTGTTGTCTATTGCTATGGTTGCCAAGTCGGTGGCCTCCTGGGACGAGAAGCGCGCGGTGTGCGGCAACTGCAAGCATATTTTCCTCAAAGCCCAGAGCCGAATCGCGGGCTACTGCTCCGTCGACTGCCACGCCAATGCCACGTACCTCGACACGGTGCAGCAGCGCATTCGGGCCATGCGACTGGCCGCCAACGAACCGACGCCCGCCGAGCCGGTGGTGGCAGCAGCGCCCGTCACGGTGGACGGCTCAAACAGCACGTTCGCCGACTTTTACACGGCAAAGCTGTCGCCTGGGCACGCCGTCGAGTGGTCGTTTAGCGCCATGTACTAGATGTCATTTTGTAGTTTTAAATCCCATTATTTAATTGAATAGATCTTTATGTAGTAGCCAAACGGTTGCCCATGGAGGCACAACGCTGATGTTTCCAGTGTCGAGTCATGCGGCTTCGAGAGGAATTGGGCCGCTGCTACATGCATTTTGAGGTACATTCATGGACATGACGGCGATGCGGTGCACTGGAATCTCCAGTGTGGCGTCGATTGCAGAAGACGATAAAGGCAGCCATCGTATCTTGCGGTTTGTATCTCATACTGAAAAGCCGTCAACGGATCAAGAAGATCGCGAAGGGGTGCCACGCGCTGTCGAACAAGAGAAGCGACGCGGTATCTTATTGGCACACTTTGCGACGCGATGCTGCCCACCGCGCTGCCGTCGCGCTTGCTCAAGTCCATCAACTCGTGGAAAGGCCGTCGCGCCGAATACGAGTCGGTACACACACTCGACGAACTCCCGGTTGCCGAGGCACCGGTGCAGGTGCTCACGTGCCATTTGGCCCCGCGCCCGGCGCCAAGCCCGCGCACCGAGGCGGCGTCACCGGTGCGTGCAGCGCCCTTGTGTCCACATTTGACGCGATGTAGATGACGTACGATGTCCTGCTTCACAAGGACGAGCACGGGCTCGGCGTGTGCCTTGCCGTCGACGACGCCCATCGGCTCGTCGTCGCGTCGTTCCGGCGACTCCACGCCAACGACGTCGGGCCGGCCGAGGCGAGCAACCAGATCCGCCAAGGCGATTTCCTCTGCGAAATCAACAGCGACGAGGTGTTTACGCTCCCCCACGTCCACCGGCTACTCGTTGCGCTGCGGTCCGAGGCGTTCGTTCTCTTGCGCTTTCGGCGCGGCTCGCCCGGGACGCCGCTCCTTGTCGACGCGAATTGTGTGGCTGAAACAACGTCCCCGCGTGCCGTGCCGACGCAACGCGAGCGCCAGCTCTCGCATTTGGTGCACGATCTCGCGCTCAAGAACCAGCTCCTTCATACCCAGCTCGCAGAAATCCAAGGGCAACTCTTGCAAAAATGCTGGGCACTTGAAAGCACCGAGCAGCAGCTGCAGGAGGCGCGGGTGGAAGCTACCCGAAGCAGCCGTCTCTGGCCGGCCAAAAGCAATGGGCAGCATGCCAAGCTTGAGTTGGACACGCTTTTAACCGAGTGCAAGTCCCAGCTCAAGCGAGAGTGCGACGAGCAGATGCAGCTTGAGCGCGCCCAGCTGCGCGCGGCCCATCGGCGCGAACTGGAGCGTCACGAAGCCACGAGCGCGAAGAAGCTCCGGATGCTCGAGGAGGCGCTCGGATTTTTGATCGACCAAGTGGACGCGCGCCCCTCCGACGAATCGCAGCCCGTTTCAAACGAGGCGGGCAAGCTCCAGGACATTCGCGGCATCCTGGCGGGCTACACGGCACGACGACACCAGATCGACCGCCTCGTGCCGAAAAAAGCACCCTCCGTCACAAGTGCGTAATGTGATAGACCAACATGACAACGATTCAATGGATGACATTCATGTCCGTCGAGGGTCTAACTACGTATCGTCTATTCGAATGGCGATGAGCACAAGTCTTGGATGGCGGTTGCTCTATCATCAGCCACTTTCATGACCGTTGCGTTGTCAACTATAGACAACTGATGGCAGATTCGCCATCTCGGCACAAGAGGAGTGAGATGGCACCTATCTCGACGCTGCGGAGAAATGAGCGTGGGTTGGCTTTGCTTTCCCGCCCCTCTCGCGTCAACGCCGGAGAACCGTGGCGCTATTTTGACGAAGGTGTGGATTCGAATCCGTCCAAGCGTCGCCAACAACCTCGGTTGCTACCTCCAGCGCGTGCTGCGGTACGACCAGCAAGATATTGATCACTGTACGTCAACACTGGTGACGCGGGACGACCAGATCACATCACATGGAGGTAATGAATACCGGCATCATGCTGGTCATTTCCGACCAATCAGCAGCGCATTCGTCCCTTGGACGAGCCAATCAGGATGCGCAAAAGAAGATCAAGTCCCGTCGAGACTGATTGGACTGGGAAATAGCATTGGATTAAACTCGGTTAAATACGTCGATGGCAGTTACTGGGTGCTCACGAGAGATGGAGGCCTTCCAGCGCATGGACGACGTCTTCGCTGGTCATACGCTGACTCGGGGCCACCACGAGCATCTTGAGGAGCACATCGCTGATCGCGGGAGTCATAAAGCCCTTCTTTTGGCAAATGCGCAGCACGGGCAGCAAGCCTTGGCGGTGCACGGCCCGGAAAAGCTTGTCGGATTTGGCCGCGACCGAAAAGAGGGGCACGCCCGTCAGCATGATGAAGAGGACAATGCCGAGCGACCAGACGTCGGCAGCCTTGGGATCGTACGCCGCATGGCCCGTCGCGACTTCGGGGGCCATGTACATGAGCTTGCCCGCGGTGCCCCGCACGGTCGTGAGCTCGGTGCTCAGACCAAAGTCGCCGAGTTTGCACTTGCCCTCGTGAAGAAAGACGTTCTCGAGCGAGACATCGCGGTGCGCAACGCCGTGCTTGTGCATGCAGGCGAGACCCTTGGCCACGTCGAGCCCAAGTGCCATTGCGTCGGTTGGGCTAAACCGCTGTTGGCGCTGGAGCCGAGTGAGCAAATCGCCGCCGTTGCAGTACTCGAGCACGATGTGGGCACTACCATCAACGACAAAGTGGTCGAGCATCGTCACGAGGTGGTCGTGGGCGCCGAGGATGGCATGCGTCGCGATCTCTTGCGTCAAGTCGTCCGTCGTCGCCCGGCGCGGGTGCGTCTTGATGACGACGTGGGAGCTGGTGCGCGTGTCGAGGCTGAGCTGGACGCGCGACTGGGCGAGCACGTCGAGGTCATGGCCGCCGCCATAGCGCTCCTTGGTCATGCTGTGGTACGACGCGGCCACTTTGGAAATGCCTTGGGTCACAAAAACGGTATCTTGGCAGGTTACTGCAGTAGCCGTAATCGCAGCCAACGCCCATGCGTCAGAGGTAATTAACGCGGTCCGATCGAGACAAGGTCGCGCTTGGTGTTCGAATCGCAATGGATGTGTCAAACCGTCAAGGGCCGAACACCTACTAGACATGTCCTACCGATCCCTTGCCTTGCAGGACGCGCCTTGGTGCTGCTATTTGACGCAGCGACCAGCGCGTCGCCACCGAGCAGGTCGCTCTCACGTGTCCGCGCCAGCACGTACGAGTAGTGCACACATAGTACGATATATCGCAACATGACAATAGGCGAATCCACACTAGGATGAGACGCCGCATCCAAGCGCAAGAAGAGTCATGCGATAGCAGATCCGAGAGCAGTGCCACTCGGCTGATAGCTGTGCACGCCACCAAGCCGGCGACAGGCGTCGATCGGGAAATTAATGCAACGCGACCATAAAACGGATAGACGTCGTTAGTAGCCCGACCGGAGGACGGTTTCATGGAAGCTCTCGAAGGAAGACCCTTGAACCAGTCGCCACGCAGTCGAAGCTCCCGATCCAAGGCTCTCGAGTACCGTAGGGTGTGTGAAATTATGGACTGACGCACGTGCCCTCGGCTTCGGAGAAAGAGGCCTTTTCTTCCGACGTGCTTGGCGGGATGTGAATTGCGCTTCGAATTCTCCTCGGTCCAGCAAGCTTTCGACTGACTGCAAATATGTTTACGCGAGCCACCTCGAAACGGCCACGTAAGGCCAGCCGACGCTCGCGGTTTCGCCCCATTTTGGGGTGCGTCGGACGGACGGGCGCCATTCGATCGCAAATGCCTCGTCCTCCATCGCCAACGAACTCGTACGACGGAGTGGTTGAATCCGAGGGTCCCGGTTGATTCATGCGGACGCGCAGTGAAAGAAATGACTGATCGGTCTACGAGTAGCCGTCGTGACGCGCTGGTGATCACACGAGGCGTCTAAATATCTAAAATGGGATTGCGCGTGGACAGCCTGCACATGTACTATCGAACTTTATTCACAAACGACAGGAATCCAGCACATGCGCACCACCAGATCCTTGATTCCTTACACAACAGCAAAGGGTGCCTACTGACGGGATCGATCCGTGCACACGAGATCACAGTTGTCGTTCACAGCAACAACTTGCTCGATGTACCCACATCAAGAACGGATCTTTCTACAACCGTGTGCACACCAGAGACTGGATCGACGCGCGTACAATACAATCTGTCTAAACCCACGTGTCCAACATGCGCGTGCAGAACACAATTGCACCCACGTACGATTCAGTCGACCTGCCAACCAAGCGCAGTGGACATTATTCCATGAAGCGCGACAGCAAAACTACCAGGAGAATAGAAGGGTGGCAGAAAATACCAAAGCAATTCGATTGGCTCGAGGTTGTCGTCGGATGATCCAATGATATTTGTGCATCGACGCCGCTTGGTCGGAGGATTTTGCAAGCGTTCCGTGATTTCGTGTAATGTTTGCAAAATTCCGTAATATAATTCATAAATGCAGAAAAATGCACGAAATGCGAAAACATGCCGTTTTTGCCAATCATAATCGCTCAAGGGCGCTTGAATATATAGGTTTTCGTATTGAGAAAATCGCGGAACTTCTGTAATTTTATTTTTGCTCGAAATTACGGAATTTTTGAAATGTCCTCGCTTGGTCACGCCGCAACCAGAGCTGCCGCAACCGTGTGCAATCGCAATCCGTGCAGCTTTCCGTGCGGACAGGACCGGGTGTTGGACACGCTGAGACCAGCTGTCCTTGAAAAATCTTAGCGTCGTAGAGGCATGCGCAGTTTGCATTCTGCCGCCTCGCACTGAGATGCCGATCAAGCCGACAACAGACGCGCCGACCGATATGGCGCCGTACGTGGTTGTGATCCCGTCGCCCAACGCCGTCGGCGTGCACGCGATGACGGCCCTCACGACAGGCCACTGGTCCACTGGCATCTGCGATTGCTACAAAAGCCTCATTCCGAACGCGTGCATGGCCTGGTGGTGCCCGTGCGTGAGCTTGGCGCAGACGACAACCCGCATCGGTCTCTCGTCCTCATACCGCGCGACGGTGCTTGTGTTTGCGGTTTTGTATCTCCTTGCGACGGGCCCGATCTTCCTGCCTGTGTACTGGGACCGCTGGTCGCACTGGGACAATGGCTGCCTCATCTTTAGCCTCATTGTTGTGCTCGTGCTCATGATCCTCCGCGGCCGCGTGCGCATCATGCTCCGTATCCCGGGCAACGTCTTGGAGGACTGTTGCTGCGCCATCTTTTGCCACTGCTGTACGCTTGCCCAGCTGGCGACACAGGTCGATGCGTACGACGCCAACACGTGCCATTTCAGCGCCAAAGATACCCTGCCCGCCTTTGCGCTCGCATAGTCGTGCCATTATTTAAACCTCCAACTAATTTGTACACTTTACTGTCAATATGCGTTCCCGTCATACTAGCTTCCTTTGATGGCCGAGAACAAGGCTATGGCATAGTCGGCCTTTGACGAGGCACTCGACTGTATCTGCGTTAGCAGCGTGTGGAAATGCACACATCGTAACTCGAGCAGCCGCAGGTGACGCGACCGGCTCATGCGTACTGTAGAGTCCAGAAGAACGTTCCAGAGGGTCGACAAAGCCACGTCGTCGATGGCGCTTCCTTGCTCACGTCACACATATCTTTGATGCGACGTAGGAGTGTATTTGTCTCTGTGGACGGTAGCCGTGCTCTCGTTTCCCTTATTATGCGTATCCTTACTATGACTATTTCTCGTTGTCAAAAGATGCATTTCTTCGTTGCAACGATGATACTTGAAACATTCATTTTCTACTTATTTGCAAAACCTATGCAGTCGCATGCTGCTTGATGGTGTGCGCAAGCTCAAGCGCCGATGGCCGGTCGTCCGGGCTCGACGCAATGCAGCGCAGCGCCAGTGCGTGGAGCCACGAAGGGCAGTCAGGCCGGAAGCTCGGCGAAATCGTGCCTTGGATGACCATGCCCATAATAGCCGTGTCGACGAGAGGCTTCCCTTTCGCGCTCGTGAGGTCGGCGTACGGAATGTGGTGCGTATCGAGCTCCGAGAGGATCATGCCGAACGAGTAGATGTCCACTGCGACAGTGTACAGGTTTTCCTTGAGGATCTCGGGCGCCATCCAGCGGTACGTGCCAACGCCGATCGTCATGGTTTCTTGCGTGTCTTCGCGCGAAATGCCAAAGTCCGTGAGCTTGGTGCCCTTGACCGAGTCGAGGAGCACGTTGCGGGACTTGAGGTCGCGGTGGATGATCTGCATCGAGTGGAGGTACGCGAGGCCTTCGGCGATGCTCTGGGCGACGCGTAGCTTGGCCGACCACGCGTAGCTGGCCGGCGTCGTCTCGGCCAAGTGGTCTTTCAGGTCGCCCATGTCCATATACTCGAGCACGCACTGGAGGCTCGATGGCCGCGTCCACGCCACACCGATAAGCTCGACAACATACGGGCATTGAAAGCTATGCACAGTGTGAATACGTTGGGATCCAGCACCGTCGATCGTACCTGCCCATGAGGTTAATCTCGTCAATGAAGCTCTGAATGTCGGCCCGCGTGTTCTTTGTGGGCAAGAGCGTCTTGACGGCAACGACTTGGTTGCGGTACGTGCCCAGCGCCACTTGCCCGTACGCACCGGACGCGATCACCGAATTCGTGACCACGGTGTCGGCGTCGATGCGCAGCACGTCGAGCTCGCCCCACCGCAACCCGGCGGTCGCGGATGGAGACGACGCGCCCGTGTTGGCGCGATTCGACGGCTCGTGGCTTGGACTTGTCAAGAACGCCTCCTTGAAGGTCCGCTCGCGCTGCTTGTTGCGCTTGAGAATCACGTAAAAGACAACGAACGCCACCGCCGCCGTGCACCCGACCGAGACGCCGACGATGAGCTCAATGTTGCCGGCACTGTTGTCGATGATGACGACGTTCGCACCCGCGGCATCTTCGCTCGCGACGGTCGGCGGCGGCATCAGAGGCGGCGGCCATTGCGGCCGGCCCATGCCCGCGGGCTGGATAACGAGCGCGGACACGTCGTCGGTCCAGTTGCCCATGTCGGGCATGTCGGTCGACCAAATGGCGCTCGCGCCGGCGAAGCTATCGTGCTCGTAGCCAATAACCTCGACGCCACCCGGGATGCGCAGGGAGGCAAAGCCGACGGCCCAGTCCTCGTGGAGGTTGCCCGACCAGACAATCGGAAAGGCGAGCGTCGCGCCCGTGTAGTTGGCGCCGCGGTAGAGACTGACCTGGGCCGCGGACGCGACGGCGGCGACGGCGAGGCTGCGCAGCACCTGACCAAGCATCTCGGGAATGGCATGCTTCCGGCAAGGCCAGCGGGGACACCCGTGTGACACCGAGGCGCTGGGTACTTCGATCGAAGTTAGCGTACCAATTGACAACAATAGCTTGTTGTTTGTATGCGGATCGGCTTCGAAGTGCGACCGACCCGCCGCGTAACGCTGTCACCTGTTATAACGTGGCCACTCGCCGTGTTATCATAGGTTGCGAACTTTTTGAACCGGCACCTTGGCTCGGTGTCCTGCCTGTCCTTGTGATCGTAGTATGACAATAGTGTTGCCCGAACTAAACTACTAGAACTCTACTATTGCTACTACATTTACCATGGACACATGGATCCTCAGTGGAGGTGCGTGGTCAAGGTATGGGAGACTTCCATCATGGTGGGGCGACCCGTCGGGTCGTGGACCAAGCACTGCAGCGCGAGCTCGCGGAACCAATCGGGGCATTCGGGCGTGAACGTCGGCCGGATCTCGTCGTTGATGACCATACTCATGATCGCCGTGTCCACGAGCCCTTGGCCGCGGTCGTTGGTGCGGTCGCTATACGGCACCACGTGTGTGTTGAGCTCTGAGAGAATGATTCCGAACGAGTAGACGTCGGCAGCGACCGTGTACTGGTTGTACTTGAGGATCTCGGGCGCCATCCAGCGGTACGTGCCGACGCCAACCGTCATGGTCTCGGTCGTCGCCTCGCGCGAGCTGCCAAAGTCCGTGAGCTTGGTGCCCTTGACCGAGTCGAGGAGCACGTTGCGGGACTTGAGGTCGCGGTGGATGACCCTCAACGAGTGGAGGTAAACGAGACCTTCGGCGATGTTGCGCGCACACTCGAGCTTGGACTGCCACGGGAAGTGCGTCGACGGCGTCTTGGCCAAAAACTCCTTCAAGTCGCCGAGGTCCATGAACTCGAGGACGCACTGGAGGTTCGTGGCGCGCGTCCACGCAGCTCCGATTAGCGACACAATGTACGGCGAGTCCAGCCTACAATTGTATCGGATAGCTTGGGATTCGACCAACGATATGATAGGCATGAACTCGTCGTACCGTCCGAGAAGGTTGATTTCGTCAATGAAGCTCTGGATCCCGGCGCGGTTGCTGTGGCCGGTCAACAGCGTCTTGATGGCCACGGGCTTGCCGTCGTACTCGCCGAGGAAGATCTCGCCGTACGCCCCGGACGCCAATTTGCGCGTCGCCACCACGTCCGCTGCCGCAATGCGGAGGAGGTCCAAGTCGCCATAGTCGAGCGTCGCACTACTCATGGTTGCGAGCGCACTCCCGCTGTGGTGCAGGCTCTCGGCTATCTCTTGCGTCGGCAGGCGGCGCGCCGGGTAGAGACGCTGCTGTGCCGTGATGATGAGGTCCTCCTTGAACGCCGTTTCTTGCCGGCGGCGGTACCGCGCAAACCAGCAAAAGCCGATCGCTGCGAGGAGCGCCGTTCCCGCGACAGAGACGCCAACCACGACGCCCGTGCTCAGTGCGGGCGACTCATCGTTGAGCTGACGGCGGCGTTGGGCGACGACGAGCGGCGCGGACAGCAACACGAGCAGGAAGAGCGCCATGGTCCGTGGGGGCGAGTACGGAAGTGCTGGTACCGTGCGCAACAGAACGACGCATTCCCAGCTGATATGAGAACCTATTGAGAAAGTGGCTTGGTAGCGCCCGAAAATGGCGTTGTCAAGCGAGATAAAGACACGGTGTACGAATAAAAGAACCGTTCTTCAAAGCAAAACGACGACAACAACACACAACGCTTCTTCGCTGTTGGCACTGTCGTATAGGGTCGAGTCGTACGACTGCAGTCGCATTTGAACATGGTATTTCTCGTTGTCGTCGTCGTGCGAAACACCTCCACGACAACGACGAGAAAATTATGCATTGAATTCACCTCAAACACCAAGTCGTAATGTTGTGTCTGGACCTCGCTTGGTGACACGAGGACCTACCTCGACGAGAGCTCTAACGTAGAGGAAAGCTCCAATTCAATAATTTTAAATCGAATCCACCTCGCTTGATCCGGATCCGGATAAAGATACGCTGGTGTGATGATCTTTGTGAGTAAATTTGCGCGCCATTAAGTGTGAGTGCTGACTCGTCTGGATGGTGGATGAAGGCAACCCTCGATACACCCGCCTTTGTCCATACGTTGAGCTACAGTGTTCACCATAAGTACAATAGCTATACTAGTAGTTTCAAAAGACCCTCGTGTGCAACGTGTGCATTGTACAAGACCATGAGTAAAGAGAGTCAAGAAGCTGCATAGCACACAAACCACTACATATATGTTAGACTTCGTTGGCGTGGTTTGGGGAGTGAATCGCTTTGATAGACGTCCCCACCAGACTTCCAATGACGCTAACAGTGACCTTGTTGTCGCTCGAGTTCTGCGCAAACGCGGACGCATGCTGGAGCTCGCTCGGCGCAAACGACTCGTTCACGCCGTGAAAGCGAGAGTCCCCGTGCGCCAACAGCTGCATCATCTTGCTCGGCGCATCGTCCGGTACATGCGATGAGTACGGTGTCTTGTAGGCTTTGTACCAGGCGGCACACGTCGCATAGTAGTCGTTGGTCGCTTCTTTTGGTGTCCTTGCGTCATGGCGATACGGCGGTCGTACGCGCTTGCACAACTTGCGAGAGTAGATCGCATAGCTGTCGAGCGACAGCCGGTGCACGCGCCACACGAGCTCCACGTCGACCGTCGGCGCGAGGTGCGGCCCTTTGAGCGCCATAAAGTGTTCGTAGCGGCGAATGGCCGCGGCAACGACCGTCGGGTGCGTCCAGTATTCCAAATGCGGGTCGACGAGCTCGATAAACGCTACATCGCGCGCCATTGCCTGTACGAGGTCAATGGGAAAGGCGCCAAGGGCGTGCGACTGGATCATGCGCAGGGCCGCCAGCCACGAGTTACAAAGACTCACAACTTCAAACGTCTTGAGCGTCAGCCGCTTGGCATTGATGAGCGCGTCCATCTCGCGCTCGAACGAGGACCAGCGGCCGTCGCGAGGGAGCGAGCGCGGTGTGCGCACATGACTCACGTAGGAGCCTGTCGCAGTGAGCAGGCTGTCGTACTGCAGCAGCGGGTACTCCTGTATAAAGAGAGCGATCTGGTACGTTTCGTAGGCCACCGTGTTGCCACAGCCAGCGCAAAGGAGCGCGTCACCGAGGAGGTGGAGGCGGTACATGTCCTGGCGGGACCATCGTCGTCTGCACTTGCGGTGGGGGCACGTATTGAGAATGTCGCGGAGCGGCGTGTCGAACGCGACGGTGTCGTAGCGGCTCTTGTAGTAGACACCCGGCGGGAGGGCTTCGCGGCAGTTCGGGCAGTCGACCTTGCGCCGTTCGATGCAATGGTAGTGCACTTGATGCGACGCGAGCTCGGTGGTGCAGTAGCCGCAGATGCCAAGAAAGGCCTTGGACGTCGGATCCATACCTGCCGACGATGTGCCGAGAGCATACGGGAGCGTATCGAGCTGGTACACGAGGTGCGGGTACGCGTCAGTGGGCGCCGGATTGTCGCGGTGGTGAGCGACGTAGTCGGCTTCCAGCGCCAGCAAGTGTTCGTACAAGGCCAGCGGGCTCGCACAACCAAAAGTGCTCGCCCGAATCGCGCGCAAACGGGTCACGTGTGCTATGACATCGGCGACCTGGACCCCACTGCTTACGACCGACGAAGGCAGAGGCCGCTGCTGGATCGAACTCGCGACACTCAGGAGCCGACTCCATGTGCTTGTTGCTGGCGGGGTGTATTCGGCACAGGAAGCTGCGTTCGATAGCACCATTGTCAGCTTGGCGAGCAATGGCTCACTCGCCACTTCCAGGTGCAGCACTTGACCGGACGCCAGCTCGACGCGCAAGCGGTACCCATCGACAGGCGTTGACGCCAGTGGTGTCGCCGTTGCGCCCTTGACGTCGAACGCAGCTCGGCAAACGAGGCCGTCGTGTAGCGAGAGGCGCTGGCCGTCTAGAGTCAGACCCCGCGACACCCAGCGGCCAAAGACACCAGTCTTGGCACGCACGTCGACGGTGTAGGTCATGGTGGCAGTTGATGTGTATTTTGAAAATGTGGTGCGTACGTAGTATTGTACGGCTGTCGGGACAGTCGCCCGCTTGCTGTCCAACGCGCTGACGATGGATACACTAGAATCGCGTGTGATTGGTCGAATGTTTTGCACGTCAAAGAAATGCACCAATCGGGGCGTAGGCGCAGCGTAGCTACTGCAATGAACCGGCGTAGAAGCCGCTGGTTCAACTGATGCGCTCTGGATGCCAGCTACCAACTGACACGGCAGCCATACAAGGAAATGCTATGGAAGGCCTCGTGGATACAAACACATCCACGCTGCTGACGTGCGAAGAATCCGACTCTATTGGAGCTTGTTGACGGGACCGGCGTTATCATGGCGATCAGGTTTTCAACTCGGCGACGCTCGCCGTCTCCTTTGGTCGCGTCAAGGATGCGGACCACGCAGCTGCTCGGACCGCACTGGGAGGTTTGCAAAAGCTGTTGCGACGACCAACGCAGTCTCGCACATGCAACTTGATCGTCCTGGTTGACACATTTGACCACATTATACGTTCACTAAGGTTTACAACAGCTAATAGCACCAGCCAAACTCACATCATCTCCAGCTGGGACCGCACGACGGCGAGGATCGTGGCCGCTGACGGACGCGTCTCCGGCTTGCGCGCAATGCAGAGCAGCGCGAGATCCTGGATCCAGTCGGGGCACATGCTTGTAAAGCGCGGCGACGTTGACTCTTCGGTGACAATGTGCTGGATCGTCTCGTTGGTCAGCGTCAAGTGGCGCGACGGCCGGCGGTGCGTGTCCAATTCAACGAGGACGCGGCCAAAAGCATAGACGTCGATCGCGGGCGACGACTGGCCGGCCGTGAGCATCTCGGGCGCGACCCACCAGACGCCGGGCGCAATGCCCGAGAGAATCTCGGCCCGCGAGAGCCCGACGTTGGCGAGCTTGGCGCGCTTGCTCGAGTCGAGAATGATGTTTTTCGTATTGAAGGCCCCGTGAATGACGCTCCGACTGTGGAGATACGCAAGCGCCGATGCCATGTCGAGGATACACGACAGCTTGTCGTGCCACGCCAGGTTGTACATGTTGGACGCCATGAGCACGGTGCGCATCGAACCGAGGTCCATGTGCTCCAAGACGCCGACGAGCGTGCTCCTGCTGCGCGCCAGAAGCGGGGGTGACCACGCTGCGCCGAGGACGCCCAAAATGCACGGGTGCACGCAGGCGCTGGCGACGTTGAGGGTGTCGAGGAAGCACTGCAGGTGGGTCAGTGTCTGGCGCTTGGGCACGAGCGCCTTGACAAACACGGTGGCGCCGTCGTACGTGCCTTCCCAGACGTTGTAGTAGACGCCGGTCGCGAGCTGGCGCGTCGATTGGACGTCGGCCGCGTCGAGGCGCTGGAGAAGGCCCCACTCGAGATTCTCGCTCACGTCGACGTCCGCCGAGAGCTCGTAGTGGCTGCCGTCGTCACTCGTGCTGTCCACCAATGTCGCCTTGGAGCGCCGACATCGCTTTTTGCTGCAGAGATACACGGTGGTTGCGAGGGCGAGGAGGATCAATGCGCCGGCGACGGAGCCGACGATGGTCACCGTGTCCGACGACTCGTTGGCGGCGGCGCGCAGGAGCGACCGGGGCACGACGCGCGACACCATGGCGGAGCGAATTGAATTCTAGCAAGAGCTTGAAGTGGTCAGCCGTGACAGTACACGGCGCGGCAGCTTGCGACGGCGGAGGGCCAGCTTTGGAGCCGACGCGCCATCCACCTGCCACTGTGACACGGGTGCTACACGGGCCGTTCGATGCCACTTGACCTGGCCCTCGGCGGCGTGGCTATTCGCACCCAACTTTAATCAGCGCGGCGCTGGCATGCATCAAGAGGCGCTGTCTTCGCAAAGCTGCCAGCGCATACTGCATCACCATGTTAACTGTGCAGTACGAGACGTGCCGTCGATAGCACATGCGGCGAGCAAAGGGGAATCCAGCGATGTTCCGTTACATAGGAGCTGTGTATGCGACGGCCCCACGCTTGCACTTATCGATACGAAACTCGAAATGACCCAATCGTAAAGTTGCGTGCGGCTAGCGACCACTGTGGGTTGCAATTGGGCCGTTCGACAATCCTGGATCTGGCCTTTCCGTCGGCGATGCTGACGGTGTGGCAAGGTCCATCCCTGGCGTCGTTCTGGCTATGCCTGTTGACTGAAGGAGGAGGTATACACGCGAAGTAACAGTTCGCCCGGACGAGCTCTCGATGAACGACAAGCGCAGTTGGGAGAACAACACGTGCTACGCGACGTAGACTGCAGTCGACTTCGCCAGGCTCCACCAGTCGCTGCGACGAGACGACCGTAGGCAAGCGGCGCTTCCACTCAACCACCATGCCGCGCGGCTTTTGAGCGCGAGGCCGTGGTATTTGTTGGCGAGGCTCGAGCATCCGAGCTCGATGGTCGCCCGAGGCGAGGCATTGCTGTTGGAAATGCCGAGCTGCTCGTGTGGCCAAGTCGTTCACGGCGCTGGGGGCGCGAGTCTGTCAACGAGGTAGACTTCACTAGCTGGAGCAGCGAGTCTTACTAGGGTACTAGTACTCGGTGTCCAATGTGAGATGAGGTCGTTTCGCTCGAGGGTCGCATTGTCTGAGGCTGTGAAGCTCTACTATTTGCACGAGCCGTCAGCCGTCGACACGGGCAAACGTCATCGCACCACGAGCGATGACACGTTTAGAATCTCGAGAGGGTTCGTGGGGTTGATCTATAGGACCGTTGACGAGCATCGACTAAGCGCCAACTAGATCGGAAAGGGGGCATCAACTACAGCTAATCTGGGCATTATCCACAGCTAAACTAGAAGTGGGAGTCAGATTACTCAAATGACTGTAGTTCAAAATCGCCAGTGGTTATGTTATTTGCGAACGAAGGTGTTATCTGGGATGCTGGACGGTATGACTGAGAGAGTTCGTCTGCCTCGCCTGCCCCGTGTTGCCGAATCCCACTCGGTGCAACCTGTAGTCGACCTGGGACAGTGAAAGCCCTCGGGTGCTGTGCATCTGGAAGTTGTTTCGTTGCGAGCGCGTCGAGGTTTGATTACTTTTGGCTGGTTGATCTGTGCTTCGGTTATCGCTCGCTATTGCCGGAGGGCTCGCGAGGCTTGATTACTCTGTGTAGACCTCGATTCTATCTATATTGGTCTGGTGCATGGTAAACCTACCGGAGGCTTCACCAAGGACAGCAGGCACACGCGAAGTTCTATCGCTGCTAGCGTCGCACCGGTATCGGACCTAGGACCTCCAAGGTCTTCGAGAGCCATATAAACTTTATGTAAGAGTCATATAGCGCGCCAACGAACGACTAGATCCAACTACGTGGCGCGCAGAAGGAACTTCGTTTGCCGAAGTCGCGATGATACATCCGCCGAATGGACCAATCAGAGTCGTTCTCGCATGGGATTGGCCATAATGCCGGATAGATCCTGCCCTCACTTTGCCTTTTGCCATGTCTGCGCCCTTTGGCACCGTGCTGGGCACGACCGACGGTGGCGTCGAGGTCCACTGCTGCGACTACGAGACGCTCGGCGAATCGGCGCTCGCGGATCGCAACGACTTTAAGAATGTCGTCGACGGCGTCACCACCGGCTACAAGTGGCAGTGCGTCGAGCTCGGCCGGCGCTACCTGCTCGTCAACCATGGCGTCGTGTACGACAACATTGCGATGGCGTACGACATCTTTCGCCTCAAGTACGTCCGGCGCGTGGCCGACAACGTGCTCTTCCCGCTCGTGCCGCACGCCAACGGGGCAGCGACGCAGCTGCCGGCGAAAGGTGCGCTCTTGATCTGGAACCCCCTCGGCAAGTTTGAGCTGACGGGCCACATTGCCGTCGTTGTCGACGCAACGTCCACGTACACGGACATTGTCGAGCAGAACGTCGACTTTACTGTGTGGCCGGCCGGCCAAACGTACTCGCGCCGGCTACCGACGATCATCGACCCAAAGACGGGAGGCATCACGCTCCAGTGCACGCACGATGGGTCGATCCTCGGCTGGACCAGCGTCAACTTTGAGATCGAGTACAACTACGAAGACGTCCCGAAAGCGTCGCCCGCGGACTTTACGCAGCACCAAGTGACGCTCACAGAGGCCCACCTCGCGCGACCGTGGCTCGACCCGTCGCGTTCGTATGTGCAAACGTTTCTCGCTCAGCCGAGCTGGCAGCCGTCGCCCGGCGTCTCGGACTACTTTTGCATGAGCCGCCATGGCCAGGCCGCGCTCGAGTACGCGACCGAGCACCTCCACCACATGTTCTTGGACGCGACCGACTTCATTTTGCACCACCAAGACGAACTGGGCGCCCATTTTCGCATCCCAAAGGCGCTCTGGCCGCGGCTGTGGCACTCGTGGATCCACGCCAAGCCCGACTTTGTCGCTGGCCGCTTTGACTTTACCTTGACGCAAGAGGGTCTCAAGGTGTACGAGTACAACGCCGACTCGGCCTCGTGCCTCATGGAGTGCGGCTACAACCAAGACGCGTGGGCGTCGCTGGCCGAGCTCGACACCATCGGTCGCAGCGGCAGCGAGCACCTCTTCACCAAGCTCGTCGACACGTGGCAAGCCCGCAGTGTCATTGGACCACTGCATTTGCTCTGTGACGACGACCCGGAAGAGCTCTGCCAGACGCAGTACATGGCGGCGGCTGCGACCGCGGCGGGCCTCGAGACGCACGTCGTCGTCGGTCTGCACGGCCTCACTCGCGTGGACCACGATATCTTGGATGCGTCGGGCAACATTCTCTCCAACGTGTGGAAGACGTGGGCGTGGCGCACGGCGCTCAACGAGCTCTCGGAGGACGAGTGGACCGAGTTCTTGGCCACGGACGGCAGTGACGGTATGGGCTGGGTCACGCCCAAGCACGGGCGGCACCGCTACGACAGCATCAAGCTCGTCGACGTGCTCTTCAGCCCGAGCATCCGCGTCTTCGAGCCGCTCTGGACACTCATTCCGAGCTCGAAAGCGATTTTGCCGGTCCTCAACACGCTCTACCCGCACCACCCGCTGCTGTTGACGTCGTCGTTTGTGCTCACGCCGGCGCTGCAAGCCGCGGGCTACGTCATCAAGCCCGTCGCCGGCCGCGCGGGCGCCAACATCTCGATCGTCGATGCGAACGGCAGTGTCTTGTCGCAGTCGGACGGCCGCTGGAGCAACGATACACCGGTGTACCAAGAGCTTGCGCTGCTCCCAAAGCACAACGGCAAGTACGTGCAGCTCGGCACGTGGGCGATTGGTGGCGAGCACGGCGGCACGATCATTCGCGCCGACGCCAACAAGATTATGGGCCTCGAGTCGTTCGTCTACGCGATGCGCGTCATCGACTAGAGCGTCCTACTTGTACTATCGACTGCACAACACAATAAACTGCATGTGAAAATGGACACTGCGCACGCAGCGAGGCGACCCAAATGTCCTTTCTAGACGACGAGTCTGTCTCCACGATCAGCGTGACGGACGCCACATCTCACGAGGAACTTCTGGCGCCATGGACCAGTCGTATCGTAATCTGTAGTTGCGGCGCCTTGTCGTCAAGGCCACCGACCTCTCAATGCTTGGCAATGGCGTGTTCGCACGTAAAGTGTTAGTTCAAATAGCCAGCTCCTCTAGGGTCAAGATAGCATCGGCGGTATCAACTGCTGGTGTCGGCGCCTCGGGCGACCTCGTGGAGGTGTGCTTGGTGCGATGCCGGGTCTTTCGCGAGCCACTGACATCGAGCCACCATACATCGGCCGGCGGAGCTACGCTGCGACTGCTCTTGGCCTTGGACACATGGCGACTGCGCGTCGATGCAGTGGGGTCTCGGCTGCTGCGCCTCGACGCTCGGTGCGCCGACGCCTCTTTCTCCAAGAGGGATGCCATGAGCTTGGCAAGGCGACGCGACTGGCGTTGACTCGAGGTTTTCTCTCGGCCTTGCTCATAGTAGAGCTGCCACGACGCATACCAGTGCAGCCATTGCCAATACTCGGATGCCTCGGACACATTCTTGCCCGGTAGCAGCAGCTCGGGCGGCGACGACACGCCCCACGGCGGCATCCCCGGTGGGTACACCACTGCATCACGAGGCTTTTCCTGCTTCATCGCTGTGGCAAATAATGGTGGTGCAGGGGCGGGTGGTGCAATGGGAGTCGCTACCGGCGTCGCTGCAGGCAGTGCAACCGACGGGGGAGGTGCCACCGGTACGGGGGCTACCGGAGGAGACTGGTAGGCGCATGCTTGATGGATTGGTGCAGTCATTGGGTAATACATGCACGGGTACATGATCTGGGCAGGCGGCGGTATGTAGGCGGGCGCCATCGACTGCGCTGAGAGAACGACTGCCGGCTGCAGCATGGGCGTCGGTGATGGCATGACCAATGTCGCTTCCGGCACGCTGGGTGGAATCGATGACACGGGCTGACGCGACGTACTTGGCGGTGCAGCTGTCGTTGGCAGAGCCGCTGCAGCAAGTTTTGGCGCTTCAAGCTCAGCGGTTGGCGTCGTTGCCGGCAACCGTGACGGACCTGTAGTTGGCCAGGCAAAGAAGAGCGGTGGCTTCTCGATCGAGTCGTGCATGCAGCTGCGCCGCAGGCTACTGCGGTGCCCATCGGTGTGCGACGCAACGCCCGCAGGCTCGTTGCGCCGGCTGCTCATGCCCACGACTGTTTCAGTTGCGCGGCCGCCACCAATCACCTAGCCCTAACTGATCATTGGCCGTGGGTTCGAGACCCGCAGAGCTCGAGACAAGGCACACTTTGTGCGTGTACCCACCCCTAAGGATATTTATCTTAGGCAAACATCCAACAACTCGATTTGCATAAAATCAGGGATAAATGCAAGGATATATCTTCTTTTATTACGCTGACGCGGTCTCGTCGAGCACGCGCATCGGGTAGATGGGCGACTCGAAGCGGATGATGTTGGTCGGGTCGGCGCGCACGACGGCGCCACCGTAGACGCCACCGATCGCCCACGCGCCGAGCTGGACGTACTCGCCGGCGTATTGCGGGAGGAGGGCGATCTCCTGGTACACGGGCGAGTCGTCGGTCCAGCGACCATGCGACTGCGACAAGACAGTGCCGTTGGCGTCGACCACCGAGATGTTGGCCCCGGCGCGACCCGTCACGGGTTTGATCACGTACCCAGACGCTTGCAGCTCGGGCGTGAGTGTGAACGACGACGCCAGCAAGAGCGGGTGCTTGGGGTACAGCTTGGTGAGCACGGGCAAAATGGCCTTTGAGCTCGGCAAGACGGTCCAAAGTGGTTCGAAAATGCGAATTGCAGGGTGCAGCAGGACATCGACGAGGAGAATGGTCGTCGTGCCGGCGCGCTCGCGGTACTTGGGCGTCGTTAGCGCCTTGGGGTCGACCGCGTCGTCTTCAAAGAGGTACCCGGCCCACTCGTCGTCCGAGAGCTCGTTGAGCGCCGTGCGCCACGCCCACGTCTTCCACACATTGGTAAGCAGGTTGCCCGACGCGTCCAAAATATCGTGGCCGCTGCGCTGAAGGCCGCCGAGACCGACGACCACATGCGTCTCGAGGCCCGCGGCGGTCGCGGCGGCCGCCATGTACTGGGCGTGGTAGATCTCTTCGGGCTCGTCGTCGCAGAGCAAGTGCAGGGGGCCAATGACACGTCGGGCTGTCCACGTATCGACGAGCTTGGTAAAGAGTTTGGCGCTGTTGCTATGGCCGGGCAGCCCCAATACCGACGCGAGCGCGTCCTGCGTGAGGCCGCACTCGAGGAGACACGAGGCCGAGTCGGCGTTGTACTCGTACACCTTGAGACCGTCTTGCGTCAAGGTAAAGTCGAAGCGGCCCGCGACACAGTCGGGCTTGCGCCGGAACCACGACCGGCGAATGCGCGGCCAGAGCTTTTGTGGAATGCGGAAATGCGGCCCGAGCTCCTTCTCGTGGTGCAGAACGTAGTCGGTCGCGTCGAGAAACATGTGGTGGAGGTGGTCGGTGGCATACTCGAGCGCGGTCTGCCCGTGCGACGTGAGCGTAAAGTACGGCGATGCGCCCGGTGCGAGCGCCGCGCCCGGCGTCGCGAGGAACGTCTGCACGTACGGAGCACTTGGGTCGAGCCACGACGCGACCGCAGCCGCCGCCGACACGGTGACCTCGCGCCGGCTTAAGTCGCTGGGCGTTGCGAGCATGACGTCTTCGTAGTTGTACTCGGTCTCCATGTCGATGGTCATCCAGCCGAGGATCGACGAGTCGGCGTACGTGCACACGATTGTGTACGCCCCCGAGTCTTCGTCGACAGTGGCTTTGAGCCGGCGCGAGTAGGTTTGGCCGGCGGGCCACACCTCGTCCTCGACGTTTTGCTCGACAATGTCGACATAGTCGTTCTCGGCGTGGACGATGACTGCAATGTGACCTGTGCGCTCAAACTCACCGACGGGGTTCCAGATGAGGAGCGAGCCCTTCACGGGCAGCTCGGTGGCCTCGCCGTTGACGTTCGAATGCATGGGCACGAGCTGGTCATCTTGGACACGCCGGACGTTCTTGAGGCGGAAGATATCGTACGCCATCGCAATGTTGTCAAAGACGACGCCAAAGTTGACGAGCAGGTAGCGCCGCCCGAGCTCGACGCACTGCCACTTGTAGCCGGTCGTGATCCCATTGAAGACGCTCTTAAAGTCGTCGCGGTTGGCGCGCGCGTCGTCCGTCAGCGTCGTGTAGTCGCAGCAGTAGACGTGGACGCCGCCATCCGTGATGCCGAGGAGCGTCCCGAATGGTACGACGAGCGGCGCGGCCGGCAGTTCCATGCCACAATTGCTAACTGCCAGCTCATCGTGGGGTCGCATTACCCGTGGCATGCGCCGAAAATAGCCACATGTAATCGCCATTTTGAGGGCTAAATGCCAAAGTTACCACATTGAGTAGCCCACCGAAATCGGAAAGATCCAAACGGCCGAGGTGGCACATGGCGCGCAGTGTGGCATGTGAGAGAGGTGTGAAGGGACGGAGGTCCTTCTGCTGTCGCATGCTCTAGTCGCAGATGCAAAGTCGGTCCCTTCTCTTCTGCAGTGCGTCGCTGGAAACGACCGGACGCAACAAGGTGCACGAGATTGAGCGTTGACGACCCCTGGATCCCCCGACGACTATTGATTATAACACAGTTTTGCCCTCTCGTCGATCATCAGTGACCATAGTACGGACAACATTGTACATGTTTTCGCAGTACGTGGCGTGATTCGGTCAGCTTCGTGAGCTCCGTCGTGGCAGGGTCGCATCGGTCGTGGATGCGCTGTGATTCGTGGATTCGCACCAATCACATGGCCGTGCAAACTGTTTGGCCAATCAGAAGCGGCGGAATGGCTACGAACACCATGCATTTCGTCAGTGGCGGACTCGTGGGCAGGCCGAGACGCTATGTACCGCCGACTGCTGACGTCGCACCCGCTACTGACCAAGTCGGTGACGACCGGCGCCATCTTTGGCGTTGGCGACGTCATCGCCCAGAGCCTCTTCCGCGACGAGGACGAGGCTTTCTCGGTCACGCGCCTCTGCATGACGTCGCTGTACGGCCTCGCGTTCCAGGGCCCGCTCCTGCACGTGTGGTTTGGCCGGCTCGAGGCGCTTTGGCCAGTTACGAACGCTGGGAGCATCGCCAAGAAGATGCTCGTCCAGCAGTTTGCGTTCGCGCCCATTAGCATCATGGCCTTCAACTCGTACGCCGGGTGCATCCCGACCCGCCACGTACGTCGATCGCTGGACGATCCGTACGTTCTCATGATGCGAATAGGAGGCGCGGTCGCTCGAAGACCGGTTTGCGGCCGGCGTCGACAAGGCGCTGGACCGTGCGCCCTCCATCTGGATGGCGGGCAACTACTTTTGGATTCCCATGAACATTCTCACGTTTGGCTTCACGCCCTTGCCGCTCCGGCCACTCGTGTCGAGCAGCGGCAACATTGTATGGTCGTCGTACCTCAGCTTTCGTGCCAACGAAGCCAACAACGTCGTCGCGCTCTCGCCCGAGTGCACTCCGCTGGCCGTGCCATAGTCGTATCGGCTTTGTTTATATACATATATTCAATGGGTCCGCCTCGTCGTCGACTGCGAGATATAGGCAACGCGGCGACGATAGCGATGGCGCTTGCTTCCACGCGACAAGCGGCTGGACTGCGTCGTCTCATGGCCGGGGCGACGCGTGCTGAACAGCTCTCTCAACGCGCGCGACGAGGATGCGCAGCTTGGCCTTGTCGTCCGGCATGGCGTCGTCGCAGCCGCTGCAGACCGGCGACGTCATCGGGTTGAAGGTGTCGCAAAACGCGCACGCGAGGTCGACATCGATCGGCGCGCCGTCGACGCGCTTGAGCAAAATGGCGAGCTTGGTCGCGTCCGTCGGCAACGGCGCACCGCAGTCGAGGCAGTTGGTGGTGGTCGTGGCATTCGGCGTGTTGCACGACTGGCAGCGCACCTCGGTGAGCTCCATGGGCACCGCCTTGAGCGACTAGAGTATATAAATCGCGATTATCATGCCAACCGAAGGACACTGTGTACCGAAGTGCTGGACGGCGGCGATGACCGCGACGACGGCGCCGAGCGCAGCTCCAACGGCCGTTGCTTGGCGTCGGTGAGGAGTGCGACAACGTGTGCTTGGTTGTTGTTGGCGGCGGCCATGATCGGCGTGACTCCGTTCTAGCACCATAATCAAATAGCATCATTGTGCAAACGAGGTGCGCACGTTGTCGGCCTTGTCGAGCTCGGCGTGGGCCCGCAAGAGCCACGGAATCACAGACGCTTGACCCGTCTCGGCCGCCACATACAGCGGCGTTTCTCCTTTCTACGTGGTATTTCGAAAACAAACTAAAATGGACATGGTTTGTCTACCTGGGACGGCTGGTTGACGTTCGCCTTGGCCGCTAAGAGCATGCGCACAATATTGACGTGGCCGTGCTGAGCGGCGTACGCCAGCGGCGTCGACCCGAGCTACCACGCCTCTGCATGAGCTTGTCGGACTTCAATACCCGACGAATATGCACACCGCTGTCGCCTGGTTGACGTTGGCTTTGGCCGCCAAGAGCATCTCGACGATGTAGTCAAAGCCGCCGTTGGCCGCAATAAGCAGCGGCGTCCAGCCGTCCTATGCTCCTACATGATGCAGTCGACGATAAAAATGCAATCGAGGGTACGTGGCGCGCTTGGTTGACATTCGCTTTGGCCTCAAGAAGGAGGGCGACGACGTCGGCATGGCCATGCTGCGCCGCCATCGAGAGGGCGGTCACGCCGCCCTAATAGGGATGCTCAGCGACTAGGAGGCAACTGGCGTCGTACCTCGGCGGGGTGGTTGACGTTGGCGTCGGCGGCGAGCAGCCACTCGACGATCTGCACGTGGCCCTTGTCGGCGGCGACGAGCAGCGGCGTCGCGCCTTTCGCGTTGGCATAGACGTTGGGGTCGACGCCGGCGGCGAGCAGCGCCTTGACGTCCTTGTTGCTGCCGTTGAGCACCGCTTGGTACAGCGACTAGAGCAGCGTGAAGCGGGAAAGGTCGAGATACCATGGACGACGCACCACGCTGCTCATGAACGAGCCCATCGCGCTTCGCTGTTGTTTGGTTTGAATTGCAACTGGCTCGGCTTGTCACGGTGCTGTCACGGAACGAACTGGGTCAAGTCAACTGCGGCGGCTGCGAGATGGTTGTTGACAAGCAGCCGCCAAAACTGCAGCTCGTTTTGTCCCCAGCACGCACTTGAGGATATTGCGGCGCCATCGACCCAAATGCTTTCAATCTGTCGGCTCGAGGTCGTGGGCTGCAGTCCGGTGCAAGGCAATGATTCCGGTGCCAACCGTTGTGAGGGGCTGACGCGCCAGAGGGCGCTTGCTGACGCGCCGGCCAACGCGACAGCTGGTGTTCACGTCCCAAGGACCCCACTCACGCGCCCCGAGCATTGGCCTCGTGACGGCAACCAGCCCCAAACTCTAATTTCTGGTGCAATACTTGGCGATCTTTGGATCTTTGGCATGTCGCTAGGTCATTAAAGCATGGGGAACAGAGGTACTCGGGCGCTTCTGCTTGCTACTGAAGAAGCCCTGCGCGACGTCGCCATGATGGCCACCGGCGTCGTCGTACAGTGTACTACTGCATGGAGTAGCTATTACACTCGGATATCAAGAGAACGAGACACAAACTCCGACGTAGTAGCTCGTTGGCGTCGAACGACTTCGTGTAGAAGCAGCGCAGTCTCTGCCCATGGCCTTCCTCGACAAGCCAAGCCCATCGAAACAAGCCATGACCTCTGTATCCATGCCAGCCCACCTTGGCGAGATGCAACCATAGGGTCGTCGCCGGCAGCGTCATCGACGGCGACCACCTTCAAGGTTGCCGGCCACTGCAACCCTCGCACTGGCCTTTTTCTGTCGTCGCGATAGATACTCCTCGAAGATCGCAATTCGGAAAAGCAGCCAGTCGACAAAACCACACCTCGGGACGACATGGGCACGGTGCGCCATGCAGTGGTATCGCCGCTCCTGACGTGGACTAGGGCCTCTCCAAGCTATTGAGCGCCGCCGCGGCCGGCCAACACAAGGAAGTCCAGAAGCTCGTCAAGCGCGGCGTCGATGTCAACGCCCGCACCGACGAGGTGGCTTGATCCGATAGTGCTGGTGCTGAACGCGACGTGCAGAATGGCACGACGGCCTTGTACCGCGCGGCAGCCAACGGCCACATTGGCGTCGTCAAGCTGCTCCTGAACGCGAACGCCGACGTCAACAAACCCAACGACGTGCGTCTCCGACTGCAATGCAGATCCCACGACGCTATCTAGATGGGCGAAACGCCGCTGTGCGAAGCAGCTGCCCAAGGCCGCGCGTCCATCATCGCCATGCTCCTCGACGCCGGCGCGGACGTCAACAAGGCCGATCTCGTACGTTAGCATGACGCTCCAGCGTAGGCAAGCGACCGCTTGTCGCCACGTAGGAGGGCACGACGCCGCTGTGCATGGCGGCCGAGCGCGGCCATGCCGACGTCATCCCTCTCTTGCTGCGCGCCGGCGCGGATGTCCACAAGACGAGCATCGTACGCCGTCTTCGTTCGCACAGGGCTGCATCTTTACTGCAAGTAGAACGGCGCGTCACCGCTGGCGCTGGCCGCGAGCAACGATCATGCGTCAGTCGTGCAGCTCCTGCTCCGTGCCAACGCCGACGTCAACGGAAAAGACAGCGTACACTGCTGCTTCCAACTTTGGCAAAGTGGATGATGATGGCGTGTTGACGTAGGCGGGCGAGACGCCACTCTGCCGCGCTGCCGCGAGAGGCCACGCTGGTGTCGTGCGCGTGCTGTTGACGGTGCAAGCGTGGATGTTGCGCAGCGTAGCCACGACCATTTGAGGACTCGGGTCTCTCACGAGCGTCTAGGACATGGTCCGCGCAGTGACGTACGCGGCCCGCGCCAACCACGCGGCGGTCGTGGACGCGCTTCTGTTGGTCAACTCGAGCGTCGACGGCGAGCCCAAGGTCTGACGTCTGTCATTTCGAACCATGACGCACACGTGCCACGTAGCTCTTGGCCTGGGACGTGGTCGCCAGCAACGTATGATGACGCATCTCGAATCGAGCTTCTTGAGGGAATTTCTGTGGTGTAGCGACCGGCGCTGACGCCCGGCGAGCAGCGCGCAGTGGCGTCGGCCAAGGTGCGTCGACGCAGCTGCGTCACGGCGCTCATAACGCCTAGGCCTTGTGCCTCGGGCTTGCCGTGCGCGGCGGGGACGCCCAACAGACGCAGTATTTTTTGCGTCTTGGCGCCAGTCCCAACGAGGTACTTGGTGAGTCAGTTCAGACTACAGACAAGTTGTCGCTAGTCGAACCAAGGGTTGCTGCACGAAGCGATGGCGGCGGCGCAGTACGCGGTCGCTGTTGAGCTCATTCGCGCGCCCGCAACCGACCTCGACTGTCGCAACGAGGTCGTCGTCCCCATCGAGGATGCAGATCCTCACGCGCGTGCGCTAGATGGGGCGGTCGGTGCTAACGCTCGCGATCGAAGGCGGTCATGTCGACATTGTCCGCGAACTTGTCCGCGCCAAAGTCGACGTCAACGCGAAGGACCAGGTCTTTTGCGCTCGAGCCGCCAGCGCCAACCAAGGGCCTTGTAGATGAACGTGGCACCGTTGCATGTGGCCCTCGACATGCACCAGCTCCAGCTACTGCCGATCCTTCTTGACGCGGACGACGTGGACGTGAGCGTCCTCGACGCTGTACGACAGATTCGACCTCAGGTCTCTCATGAGCATGTAGGTGGGCGTGACGCTCTGGGCAAAAGCTCAAAAGTTGGGCTTCAATGACGTGGCAAGCCGGTTGCGCGAGATGGCTACGCGCCGCAAGATGGTACGGCACCACTCGCCGACAAGCCGCGGTTCACATGAGGCGTAGCAGGACGAGGAAAGCTGCAGCGATCCGGTGCGAGCCTCGATAGGAGTCTGTCGACCGCTGCTTTCACACACGCTCGCAGCGCACACGAGCGCCGCCTAAGTTTGTCTTTGTATGCGTTTATGTGACTGCGGTGTGACCCTTGATCTCGTGGCTGCGTGCTGGCTTGGGCGTCAGCGACTGCAGCAAATACTACACGGTGATAATGGTATGTTGGAGACCGCAAGCTCTCGCACGAGCCGTCACGCCCGCACAAACATGTCGCCTTCCTTCGCACTTGGTGAGAGATGCCTCACTTGACACGTGATTGCGATCGTCAAGGACCAGCTCCATAGCTCGCTCCCAACGTAGGGCGTCCTGGCAAGCGAGACGCCACGATATAGCTCCAGCATCAAGCCTTTCTGAGCGAAATGCCGCCTCTAAGGACGGGATTGTACCTAGGCGAGGAAACTGTCTTCCTGGCGCCTCCAAGTTGGTGCCTCTCGACGTGTTTACTTGAGAAGGGCTTGCAGCTGCAGAGGTTGTTCACGGCGTTGGGCCTACTGAGCTCGAGAGCCAACAGCTTGATGCACCAGAAGACATTGTATCGAGCTAGAGAGTCACATCATCAACGAGGCCTTGATACGTTTGATTGATGTACACTCTTCTTGCAGAGCCAAGGGACGCGGTGGCGTTGCGTGTCTCGCGCGTCAAGACACACACTCTTGACCAACACTCTCACCTTTCCTTTTCAGTACACCTGGCAAGAGATCATTGTCGTCGCCATGTCCCTCGAACCGTACACGACGTCCTTCGAGGCCGCGGCCGTGCGCGAGCTCCGCAACCTGCTGCCGTGCCGCGTCTTCGTGCTTCCCGACGCTCCCCCCGGCAAAGTCCTTGTCACGCTGACCGCGTCGCACAACAGCGTCGATCACTTCGTCGTTCAGCTGCTGCATGGCGTGCTGACACTGCGCACCACGCATGGGCACCTCACAGGTCAAGTGCTCGTTCAAGTGCAAGTTGACGAGGCCGCGTTGACAGCCACCAAGATCACAAATGCTGGCGGCGGGGATCTTTGCATGGATGGCGTGGCGCGCAAAGCGCAAGGAAGCCACTTGTGTCTGGTGCAGGAGGGCCACGGCAGCATGCACATGGAGACGCCCGAGCTCTCACTGACGCGCTTTGCATGCCATGTCAGCGGTGATGGCGCGATTCGAGTTGACGCCGGCGCGCTCAACCTGTGCTCCCTCGACTCGACCGTCTCGGGCCAAGGCAGTATATCCGTCTACGCTGAAACCATCAACACGACATATGCAAGCAGCCGCGTGCAAGGCGCCGGCGTCATCAACCTTGGTGCGCGAAATGCGTGGCAGGCGACGTCCGTGCAAGCAGCTGTCCAAGGCGCGGGCGTCGTGTGCCTCCGAGGCGCCGGGACGTGCGTCGTCGCCACTGCGACCGTCACGGGGAGCGGCCGCATTCGAACAGACGCGCTATCAGCCCACGAGGTTGATGCGACAGTTTACGGCCCTGGGTCGATTATGACGCAGGCCGTGCACGAACTCCGCACTAAGTCCGTCGGTCCCGGTCTGATTTACTACACAAAGATGCCGCCAGAAGCGTGCCATGGTCCGTGCTCGCACTTGTACAATCCGTCGCCGGTCATCGTGCCCGAAGCAGTGCCATTTCCCGACCGTGTGCCCGATACGATTGATGTCGATAGTTCAAGCTCATGGGAGTGCAACATTATGTAATGACCACCAGCATTATTGGATTTTCACAGGGGATCGCACCAGGACGGGACCAGGTGCCGTCCGCCCCAATGGTTCTCAAAACAGGGCCACACAAGTGCGACCAATCGGCTCTCCTGGCTAGGGTCATTTCTCGTGCTGCCACGTATGACGTTTGTATGACGTGGCAGTCTAACATGGCAGCACTGGGATGGCAGCCGTTTCGCCTTGGCATTCTCGCACGAGAAGCGCCGTGTGGACTTACGGGCGCCTTGACTTGGCTCTCGGCAGTTCCAGCCCTCTCATGGACGTGGAACAAGCATTCGGACATGACGTCATTGCGACACGGTACTTCAAGAAGAAGACACCCAATACATGCAGAGGTGTACTTGAACCTTGGCGCTCATCCCCTCGGAGTGCACGACAAGCGCGTGTCCGTCATCCGCCTGTCATCACAGGAGCTAGGCCGGCAAGCAGGGCCGGCACGAGCCAATCCTCTGCCGCGCACGTCGGTGCATCATCATTCGATATGCCGCAGCTGCACCGACCAGCGTTCTTGGCGCGTCTCTCCGCATCCTCGACTCAGACGCAAGTGCGTTGGCACCCACATTCCCGCTTCTTATTTCAATAAGCAAACAATTTGCTTGTGGCCACTGTTGAAAATCACATTCGACAACAAAATGAGCGTCCTCACCTACACCTTTGACGCGACAACGATCCACGAGATCGACAACAACCTGCCTTGCCACGTGTTTGTGAGCCAAGCTGCGGTCGAGACCGACCTCCGCGTCACCGCCACAAGTGCGGGGAACCTTCCCGTCGACGCTCTGCGCATTGTCCAGCGCGATGCGACGCTTTGCCTCGAGTGGGCTTCGCCAATCACCGACACGATGACGCTCCTGATTGAGATATGCGCCAGCGCCGACGCGCTTAAGTGCACCAAGTTTGTCAACAACGGACCCGGCAGCGTGTACGTGGATCACTGGCCGCTCGGGCCTCTCGCGGCCGACCTGACGCTGATCCAGAACGGGTCGGGCCGCGTCTGTGTGCGCACCGCGCACGCATCGGTCGCCACCTTGCGCGCCCAAACAAACGGTAGTGGCCGCGTGCAGCTGGAAGCGGCATCACTCGTCGTCGAGACAATCGAGTGTGCGACGCGCGGCAGCGGCGTGACGCAGCTGAGCGTCGGCGCCGTCACGGCCACGTCGGTCGACTGCAGCGTCGCAGGCTCGGGCAGCATCCACATTGCGTCGCCCAAGGCATTCACGGCCGCCTCGATCCAGTGCGCCGTCTCGGGCTCCGGGAACCTCTCATTTGCCGGCCATGGGACCTGCCAGCGCGTGGCGATCCAAGTGGCCGGCTCGGGGCGCGTACGCACGGACGCCGTGGCCGCCCACGAAGCGCATATTGAGATTGCGGGCAGCGGCGCGGTCGTGGTGCGCGCGATGGACGAGCTCGAGGCTAAAGTCGTTGGCTCGGGCGTCGTGCGCTGTGTCGCGCCGGTTCCGCCCATGGTGAGCGGCAGCTTCACGACGCTCGAGACGGCGCCGTCCGTGCCCGACCACAGCTGCAGCATGTTCCCAGCACGCGAGCCCACGCAATGCAGCGGCTGCGGCAACAGCTGCCGCCTCATGTAGCCACTTCTTTGCATCGCGCGTGTTAATCTATACCTCTTGTATTCTCAAAAGTCGAACCGCAAAAGACCGCTGTCGCAACGCATGGAAGCACCGAGTGACGTCGGAGAAGACCATTTGCTCATCGCATGTGATCGATGATGGGACAAGCGGCAAGATGGCTACAAGATAAGGCTACCTACACGAAGCGCCGTCGACCGAGGCTAGAGGTGCCAGAAGCGCCGGAAGTTGAAGGCTTCTTCGTTCACGTCAAAATAGTGTGGGCGCTGCAAGCCCACGTCCGACGGCTGGTACAACGCGTGCGACAGCATCACCAATTGCGTGTTGGGCGCGCGCCACCTATGCAAGGTTTATGTATCAAGTTGATACAAAGCGCACCGACCTCGACGCCATGCGGAAGATGAACTCGAGCGTGCCGTGGCGCATTGGCACGACCGCGTGCACTTGTCCGCGGGCCAAGTAGTAGTTGCCCACAAAGATGGTCTCCTTGTCGCGGTGGCGCATGAGTTCTGCGGTCTACAGCGACACACCATACTAGGGCATGCGACGTGTTGGTCATCTACCTCGCGCGGGTGGCGGTGCGTCATCGCATATAGGAACGTGCCGTCATTTCGAAAGTTGAAATAGCGATAGTAAATGGCCTAAGATCCTATAGTTTGAGCAAAGTTCGACAACAACAGACAGGTTGTACCAGCAGAATCGCATTTTTGGGCAAATCGGTCCACATGTTCCATTCCGGCTCCTTGTAGTACGAGATGCGCAGCGCGTAAAAGCCTGGAGACGATGCAGCCACATGCATGCGAGCTACGAACGTACCGTGGTACTTGACGCGGGGCCGGCCGCGAAACATGTGTGCCCACGATGAAAACTTGCCGAGCTTGACGGCCCGCCCGCGGCTCTGCATCGTGAAGACGCGCCGACACATCATCTCGTAGATGTACTCTACGCCGACTCGCATGAGCTATCGCTGTATCGTCCATTGTACCGTTCGAGGCAGCGCGGTGAAAGTGGTGGCACGTGTTGCTAAAGTTGCCGATCGTGTCTTCGTCGAGGAACTCGAGCACGAGCATGAGCATGCGCTCGGGCATGTGGCAGCAAAGCACGTCGGCTGCGCTGCATGAGACGGCAATCCTCTTGGCGCTATTGTGTGCGTACCGTTCAAATCTTCGAGGTTGGCGGGCTCGAGGGCGGCGGCGGCGACGTCTTCCGGCGCGTCGACGTCATCGTCGTCGTCGTCGTCGATCGCTGCTGGCGTGGACGATGAAACCTCGGTGCTAGCACTGGCGCGGGCACGGGCGGCGAGGTTGAGATGGCGCAACTCGTTCTCCGCGTGCACGATCTGGGCGAGAAAGTCGGGCCTACACACCGTGGAGTTATCGAGGTGGCGGAAGGCAGCGCGTACTGCAGCGACTCGTTGAGCGCTTGCTCGAGGGCCTCGGCGTCTTCGTCCCGGCGGGTGCGTCGGCGGATAGGTGCGGCAATCATTGAGCTCTGGTCTCCGGGCTGGAGCGGTCGGATGAGCTCGTGGTTGCCCACCGAAGTTTCCGTGGCAGTTCCTCGTGGCACCGTATCCGGATGATAAGATATCTGCGAAGTCCAATCTTGAATCACGGAAATAGTATACGATTCAAGATTCCACAGCTCGACTCATACCAAGCTGGGGCAAGAACGCAGAGCATTTATACATCTTGCTGCTTGAAACACACACGTAGGCGATTGTGTTGCACGTTGTCTAGCATGGCTACCAAGCTTGCAGTGGTAGATTGAGCGCTCTCGCATTCGAACATTTAGTGTGGTTTTAAATAGTGTAAGATAACCCAATCCCGCTGTGCCGCAACGCCGATAACAAATCAAGTCGCTCTTTCGATGCGCGCATCGCTCAAGCACCCTTTTGCAGCAGGACCGAGAGGTCGCGTGGTCAAGTGCATGGTCACTCGCGCTCAAGGCTTGCATGAGTGCGACATGACTGACACCATTTCATATTGACTTTCAGCTCGAAATCGTGTGCAAATTGCACGGATGTAGTGTACGTGGTCAACCCACCAATCAGAGACGTGCCGAAGCGCAATCCAATAATGCTTCGGGTCGGTCTCCAGCGCACCGCCATCGGCCGGCTCGGTCGCCGTGCATTGGCGTCGTCAACCGTGACGCCGATGCTGCGGCAGTATCTCGAGCGCAAGAAGGAGTACCCTGGTCGGTCCATCTCTCTCTATCAATGTATCAATGGTCGTTGTGCCAGATTGCCTTTTGCTCTACCAAGTCGGCGACTTTTACGAGCTCTTTGCCGACGATGCGCGCCGCGCGTCGCACGTACGCCCATTGTCTATGCTACTCTATTGCATTCGATGGCGTAGCTTCTGAACCTGGCGCTGACGCGCAAGGCCAAGTCCAAGCAAGCCCACGACATGGACATCATGTGCGGGTTCCCGATCGCGTCGCTCAACACGTACGTCGAGAAGCTCGTGCGGCACCACGGCGAGAAGGTCGCCATCTGCAACCAGACCGAAGTACCGCGATATGCTACGATCGAAGAGGGTGTTGACAACGCAGCGTGACTAGTCGGCGACGGCCGCCAAGCAGCGCAAGGGCGTCGGCGTCCACGCGCTCGTCCAGCGGCACGTTGTCCGGGTACTGGCACATTGTAGATGATGTGAAACGAAATGAAAATGGCGCCTAGGTGGTGACGCCTGGGTCGCTCACGGACGACTCGATGCTGCTCGCCGGCCAAAACAACTATCTCGCCGCCATGACGCAAAACGCCGAGGCGCTTGAGCTCGCGTGGACCGACGTCTCGACAGGCGAGTTTCACCGCTTGGCGACGACCTTGGATGAGCTTGAGAGCGAGCTCTGTCGCCTCTCTCCGACCGAGATGCTCCTCCCGATCAACGCCGCGACAAGTGCAACGGGTACGACCGCTGCTACGCGATGTCGTCCTATCCATTTGGGCAGATTCCTTCTGGCAGCTCGTCGAGGCCAAACTGCCCGCGCACTGTCTCAAGACATACCGACCAGCAGCGCTCTCGGCGTCGGCGTCGGCCATGATCACCGAGTACCTTCGATACACGCACCTCCAGACACACGCGCCGGAAGATGCTTCAGCGCTGCAGCCGCGCATGCTCATCGACGCCAGCGCGTGGCGGTCGCTCGAGATCACCAAGGTATTCAAATAAGGTTGTGTCGTCGATCTATTAAACGTATTCGTAGTCGATGCACGGGACCAAGCAGCACAGCCTTCTGCAAGCGATTGATAAGACCAAGACGGCGGGTGGCGCGCGGCTCTTGGCGGTACACACGCAATGTACTTTGGCTTCTTGATACACTGGCGGCAGGCGCACCTCTCGGCCCCGCTCTTGCGCGTCGACGACATTACTCGGCGTCAAGACGCCGTGTCATGGCTGCTCCAGGACACCCACGGACTCTCCAAGCTACGTCACGTTCTGCAGGCTTGCCTCCACACTCCACCATCGATTGCTCAAGCTGCAGTAGGAATGCGGGGACATTGAGCGGAGCCTCCGGCGTCTGGCGATGGGCAACGGCACGCCCAAAGACCTCAAGCGAGTACGCTCGAATGGAAATGAGCGCGCTGTGAAAAGTGCAATGCGTTAGATTAGTGACACTGTGCTGGAGAGCCAAGCGCTGGCCCACTACTTGCAGGACGGACCGCGCCACTGGCCGTGCGAGCTCATCTCGCGTCTCCGAGGCGCCTTTGATGTACCCGAAGGTACACGCTTCGCCATAAAAGAGTATGACGTTATTTACCACATATCTAGTCGTCGCCATGGCCACGGACGTGCAAGCAGCGCTCGTCGACGACCTGACGCAACTCAACCAAAAGCACGACTTTATCCGCCCCGGTTCGGATACGTTTCGAGAATGGAAACAAAATTGTGGACTTAGGGTACTCCAAGGAGCTCGATCGGTGGCGCAGTCTCTGCCACGACTCGGTGACCGACCAGATTCGGGACCTCCAGCGCGAGTACCAGACGCAGACGGGCATTGCCAAGCTTCGTGTGGCGCGCAAGAAGCAGCACGTGGGCTGGTGTGTTGAAGTGCCCCAAGACACGTCACCACCGCTTACGCGTACGCCAAGCATCGATGTAGCAGAGAACACGGCTGACCATGCGTAGCACCGCACTTTCAGCTGATTCAAACCACGACCAAAACGCTTCGCTACCGGTCGCCCGCCCTCGATAAGCTCAACTCGGATGTGTTCCACGCGTTGGACCAGGTACCGTACACTGCTTGATGGAGCCTATGTCGCTGCAGCGTTTCTAGAGCGTCGAGGTCGAAGAAGCGCTCTTCAAGGAGTTGCAAGGCCGCGTCTTGGCGGTGTCAGCCGCCATCGAGACCTTGGGCGACGCATTGAATCAACTCGATGTCGCGGCCAGCCACGCCCAGAACAGTACGCAGCACTTGTGCAGTCGATTTTGATGGTGTCACGTAGCGCTGGACCACCAACTGGTGCGACCGACGCTGTCGGCCACGTCGGCCGATATGCACATCGTCGAGGGACGTCACTGGGTCGTTGCCTCCGCGCACGAAGCCAACTTGCGCGCGTTTGTACCCAACAGCTTGCATTTCGCTTTCGACGACTCGTGCTGGATCGTCACGGGGCCCAACATGGGCGGGAAGAGCACATTTCTGCGGCAGACGGCCCACCTCGTGCTCCTCGCGCAGGCAATTTATGTCCGAGTCTCGGCTTGATAGATTGATACCGTTTGAATCGATAGATGGGCAGCTTTGTGCCGGCCGTGAGCGCGCACATTGGCATCGTCGACCGCCTCTTTAGCCGGGTGTGGACAACTTGTCTATCGAGTGATTGTGTTCGTAGGTTACGACGACATATGTAGGTGGGCGCGTCGGACGATCTGGCGTCGGACCGCAGTACGTTCATGGTAGAAATGCAAGAGACAGCGACGATTCTCAAGCAGGTGCGCCCTGCAAAAGCCACATGAAGCTCACGTCGCATCTAGGCAACGAATCGGTCGCTCATCCTAATGGACGAGGTCGGCCGCGGTACGTCGGTCCAAGACGGCGTCGCCATCGCCCAAGCCGTACGCTCCAGTCGTTTGTTGAAAGCGCAGTTCTTAATGGCGTAGGTGGTCGAGGAGCTTCTTCGGCGCCAGAGCCGGACGTTGTTTGCGACCCACTTTACCGAGCTCAGCAGCATCTTTGCCAGCGCGCATGCGGTCTCGTTTCATCACATGCAAGTCGCTCGCCACAAGTACGCCGAAACTGTCAAACTGCGTCAACCGGTTTCTGTAGAAAGGCGGGTCTGATCTTCTCCCACCGCGTCGTGCCCGGCGTCGCCAAAGAGTCGTACGGCGTCGAAGTAGCGGCCCTCGCCGGTACGTTGTTGTCGGATGCACACTAAATCTAACATGGCGTAGGCTGCCCCGCCAACGTCGTCGAGCGGGCCAAGGCGCTCGTGCAGCGCCAAAAAGATACACTCGCCTCGGCATCAGTAGCTCCCGTTCGACCCGCGGTTTGAGTGGGCTACATGGTCGTAGTGCTTCTTGCTGCCACGCCGGTTTGAGTGGGCTACATGGTCGTAGTGCTTCTTGCTGCTAGTACGACTGGGCCGCTTGAAATGCAACGCCGTGTTTGTCTTGTGCGTATTTTGCATAGAAACCTCGGGTGTCGGCTGATAACGTGGCAAGTTGAAGCGACTACCGTGTTGCCACGGATCGAAGGCAGTGACGGCGCTCCTACTATGCAACGTGTTCGTAGCGGCAGACTAAGGCAGCGATTTGGTGCAGACACTTGTGTCGGGAGCCTTGACCCTGCGAAGATGATGGTGGGGGCGATTGATGGTCGGTCGCGTGCCTCAACACGGATGACGCACGCGGCAAATGCGTGCAACACCACTTGACGACAGCTCGAACCTGATGACGCACTCGGCAAATGCGTGCAACACCACTCGGTGATAGAAAGGGTTGGAATTCAAACGTTGTTCGAACAATACGGCGTTTTGATTGGTGCATCGAAATTTTACTGGCTTTTGATTGGCTCCAACGTGGATTTCGGCGCGCTGGGTTTGCCCATCATCACGGCAGGCAAAATCGCAGGGACATACAAACATCAAGAGAGAGCGAAACGTCATGGGTCCTGCCTCCACCATGGACAGGCCTTCGCGCCCGTCAACAAGCCATCGACCGCCACCTGTAGTCCAGTGTCTAGTCCATCGTCGAGCTACGACGTGAGCTCATATCGTTACTTGCATCGTCCAGCGCACGTCCCAATATGACAACCGCCGACGCGTATGGGGCGCTGGCCACACCGCGCGGCAAGAGCGACACGGCGTCCGACCCGACAGCACCAACGACAACGACAGCAGCGCCGCTCATTCCACTCTCCAAGCTCTTCCAGTACGCCGACACGACCGACAAGGTGCTCATGGTTGCTGGCGCGCTCTTTGCGGCCGCGACCGGCATCGCCCAGCCCGTGCAGATCCTCTTCTTTGGCGACATCATCAACGCCTTCAACCCGACCAGCGGCGAGGTCACCAACGCCGACCTCTTTCGCAAGAGCATCAACGACGTCGTGCTCAAGTTCGTGTACCTCGGCCTAGCCGTCCTCTTCACCGCGTTTGGTCAAGTGGCGTGCTGGACGATTGCGGCGTCGCGGCAGTCGAAGCGCATTCGCCACGCCTACGCCAGCGCGATCTTGCGCCAAGAGGTCGGCTGGTTTGACGTAAGCGAGCCCATGACGCTCGCAACGCGCGTCGCCGACACGACGCTCCTCGTGCAGAACGGCATTGGCCGCAAGGTTGGCGACGGCATCAACTACGCGGCCATGGGCATTGGCTCGATCGTCCTCGCTTTTGCGTACGGCTACGAACTCTCGCTCGTGCTCTTTGCGCTTACGCCCTTTATCGGTCTCTCGGCCTACTATATGACCAAAGCGATCTCGGACGCGGTGCAGAACGGCGTCGACGCGTACGCCGAGGCCGGCGGTGTCGCCGAAGAAGCACTGAGCAACATCCGCACCGTGCACATGTTTCACGCGATGGAGCGCATTGCCGCCAAGTACGATGCGGCGCTCGCCAAGACGGAAGCCGCCGGCATCAAGAAAGGCCTTGCGATCGGTGTCGGCACGGGCGTCATGTTCTTCACGCAGTTCCTCACGAACGGTCTCGGTATGTACTATGGCGCGGTCAAGATCACCAACGACATTGCGGGCGGGTGCGTCACTAGCGAGTGCTACAACGGTGGCCGCGTCATCACCATCTTCTTTTGCATCGTCATGGGTGCCATGGCGCTCGGCCAAGCCGGCCCGGCGCTCCAGGCCATCTACACGGGGCGCGCAGCGGCCCAAGACATTTTCGCGCTCATTGCGCGCGTCTCGCGCATCGACGTGACCGACGACGCGGGACGTTTGCTCGATCCAAACACTGTCCGCGGTGAGATTACATTGGAAAACATTGCGTTTGCGTACCCGTCGCGCGCGCACGTTCCAGTGTGCAATGGCTACTCGCTCACGATTCCCGCGGGCCAAAAGATTGCGCTCGTGGGCGCAAGCGGGTCGGGCAAAAGCACGATCGTGTCGCTTCTCGAGCGCTTTTACGACCCCTTGGGCGGCCGCATCACGCTCGACGGCGTCGACTTGCGGGACCTCAACGTAGCCTCGCTCCGCGCGCAGATCGGTCTCGTCGGCCAAGAGCCAAGCCTTTTTGCTGATACAATCGCCAACAACATTCGCCGCGGCAAGCCGGACGCGACGCTCGACGAGGTCGTGGCCGCCGCCAAGCAAGCCAATGCCTACGACTTTATCATGGGGTTCCCCGCAGGTTTCGACACGGACGTTGGCGACCGTGGCGCGCAGCTCTCGGGTGGCCAGGTACCGATGTGGATTTCGTTTCAACTTGATACAAAACCATAGTTGTAGAAACAACGTATTGCGATCGCCCGTGCGATCATCAAGAACCCGAGCGTGCTTTTGCTGGACGAAGCCACGAGTGCGCTCGACACGGAGAGCGAGCATGTCGTGCAGGCGTCGCTCGACGCGCTTGTCGCTGCCCGCCAGCGCACCACCATCATCATTGCGCACCGACTCTCGACGATCCGTGGCGCCGACCGCATCGTCGTCTTGAGCGACGGCGTCGTCGTCGAAGACGGCACCCATGATGACCTCCTCTCAATTCCCCATGGCCACTACAAGGGCCTCGTCACGGCGCAGATGCGACACGCGGCCGACGAAGCGGACGAGGCGGCTTCGGACGAAAAGTCGTCGGCGGTCGTAACCCAAGCTACCGAGCGCCCGAAAGAGGTTGGTGACGCCGCCTCGTCGACTGGCGACGACGATGCGACGTCGGTCGACAGTGCCGGGCTCAAACGCCCGCTGGTGCCCATCTCGCGCGTGTGGCGTCTGAGTCGCCCGGAAGTGCAACAGTTGGTCGTCGGCAGTCTTGGCGCGCTCATCCACGGCGCCGTGTACCCTATCTGGGGCCTGCTCTTGACGAAATGCGTCGTGCTCTTTTACCGCCAAGACCTCTCGTCATCCGAGATGCGCCACCAAGCCATGTGGTGGGGCCTCAGCTTTGTCTTTATGGGCCTTGTGTACGTCGTTGCCATCATTGCGCAGTACCACCAGTTTGCGACCGCGTCCGAGCGGCTCACCGGTCGCATTCGCTACATGAGCTTCCAAGCGATGCTGCGCCAGGACATGGCGTGGTTTGACGACCCGCGCCACTCGCCCGGTGCGCTCACGACCCGGCTCGCGACCGATTCGGCGGCCATTCGGTCCATGACGTCCGAGTCGCTCAACGCTGTCCTTGTCAACGTCTCGTCGCTCGGCGTCGGCTTTGGCGTCGCGTTCTACTACTCGTGGAAGATGACGCTCGTGCTTATGGCCATCTTTCCCATTCTCGGCTTTGCGAGCGTCATGGAGATGCAAACGCTCGGCGGCGGCGACAAGGACCTCAACGACGGCGACCTCTGCGCCGGCGCGCTTCTCTCGGAAGCGATCAACTCGATCCGCACAGTGGCCTCGTTTGGCCTTGAAAAGGCCACCAACACAGCGTATCTCACTTTTCTCCAGCAGTCGGCGTCGACGGACGTCAAACTCGGGCTCAAGAGCGCGTCGGCGTACGGTCTCAGCCAGTCGACCATGGTGCTTGCGATCGCCACCACGTTTTACTTTGGCGGCTGGCTCCTCCTCCGGGGTGACGTGACCTTTGAGGCCATGATGACGGTCCTCAACGCGATCCTCTTCTGCTCGTTTGGCGTCGGCATTGCGGTCCAAGGCCTCGGCGACGTCGGGAAGGCCAAGAAGGCGGTCCAGAGCATCTTTGGCATCATCGACCATATCCCAAGCATCGATGCGATGGCCGATGCTGGCGCGACACTGGAGCATGTCCAAGGGGACGTTCACTTTTCGCACGTGGCATTTGCGTACCCGAGCCGGCCGGACGCTCAGATCTACCGCAACTACAACCTCTCGATTTCAAGCGGCCAGACGCTCGCGCTGGTCGGCGGCAGCGGCAGCGGGAAGAGCACCGCGATTGCGCTCTTGCAGCGGTTTTACGACCCGAGCGCGGGGGCGGTGACCATCGACGGCGTCGACATTGCATCGCTCAACGTCGCGTCGCTGCGCCGCCACATTGCGATCGTGTCGCAAGAGCCCGTGCTGTTTGCAGGCTCGATCGCCGACAACATCGCCATGGGTAAGCCGAATGCGAGTCGAAATGAGGTGGAAGATGCGGCGAGGAAGGCCAATGCCCACGACTTTATCGAGCGGTTCCCGGACGGCTACGACACGTCGGTGGGCGACCGCGGCGTGCAAATCTCGGGCGGCCAAAAGCAGCGCGTGGCAATCGCGCGGGCCATCATTCGCGATCCTGCCATCTTGCTGCTCGACGAAGCAACGAGCGCGCTCGATACGGAGAGCGAAGCCATTGTCCAAGCGTCGCTCGACAAGCTCCTCACGCTCAAGAAGCGGACGACGATCATCGTGGCCCACCGCCTCTCGACGATCCGCAACGCCGACGTCATTGCTGTCGTTCACGACGGCCGCGTCGCCGAGCTCGGGACGCACGACCAGCTCATGAACATCCCTGATGGCTTGTACCAGAACCTCGTCGCTCGTCAAATGAGCAAGACGACCGCGTAGAGAAGACTCTACTTTGAATGCAAGTGTATATAGAGTACGACGAACGACGTGTTGCGTCCTTCGAGGGAGGGATCCATACAGAGTGTAAGCACAGGACTGGACAGGGGTTTGATGGCAGTAGTCGTCCTAAATGTGAAAATTGAGCGGCAAGAGCGACTCGTCTTCGCGCGTGAGCCAGACGTTGACGTCGTCGGGCGCCAGTCGGAAGCGGCAGCTCTGAATCACCTTGTGCAATTCGGCGGGTCGCTGGAGATGCTGCGTAAGCGGCGCCAGCTGCAGTTGGCGGACGCACGACTGCTGCACTTTGAGGAGCGAGAGAAGCCCCCCGGCCGTCACGTTCCACCAGCGCACGCTCGCTTCTCTCGCCGCATACGACACTAGTCGATAGTACATTACCATCGCCACTTGAAAGATTGATAGATATACCCAGCATGGCGCCGTCCTTGCGGAAGAGCACCGCTGAGAGCGCCGTCGTGTGGCCGTCCAGCACTCGCCACTTGGTCGCCTACAGAGACAGTGAGAGCTGGCTCGTCGACGACGAACTTGTACCGTGCGGAGGTCGTAGAGCAAGACGACGCCTTCCATGGTGCCGATGGCGAGGCGCTGCGTCGTCTTGTGAAAGTCGACCATCGGAAATCGCTTGACGAGGTCGTGAAGACACTTGGTGCTCTATTAACGACCCATCAAGTACGGACAAGTTGTCATGATATCGGTGGCGGACCATGGCCAGACACTTCTTCCGGCGGTCGGGCTTGGTTGGGTCGAGGCAGCACAAGATGGTCTCGATGACCGCGGGAAGGTGCCGCGCCATGAGAAGGTGCTGGAGGTTCACCCACGTCATGAGATAGACGAGGACGCCTTCGCGGTACGCATAGCTTCGATCGCTCGTGCTCATCTCTTGCTGGAGCACAAGCAAGACGGAGGCCGCCTCGCACGTCCCGAGCTCGACGAGAAGACGCATGGCGGCCTGCTTTAGCCGCTTCCGCTCGTCATTCGACGGGTCCAGCGTCAATGGAATGAGCTGCACCACCTATCTCGATAGACGTTCCAACTGTCGTTGGGAGGAGAAGGACGCACGAGCTGGGCAAGGTCCACAAGGTGTGGGCGGAAGAGGAGGAGGCCCTTGGCGAGGAGCTCGGCCGCGACGCAGGCGGTCGCCGCTGGGCCTTGGAGCAGCGACACGAGAACGTCGCACACTTGGCGTGCGCTCGCGGGCGAGAGTTCGCCAGGAAAGCACGTGCCCATGACGCTGAGCAGCACGAGCATCGAGCCGAGTCGGGATACGATGCGGGGAGCTGGTACTTGCTTGAGACCTAGGATGGCCGAATGAACGAGACATTTTAGCAGAGCGCGACGTCTACTCCCAAGGTCCTTCTCGAGCTGCTGGACTTCGCAGTGGTACCGCGTCATGTACTCGGCGGCGGTCGTACTGCGCGTTGTCGGCGGCAGTCGCTTGATCACGCCTACAGCCGATACATCGCCCATAGTCCATCCACCAGCGATTTTGTACCGTGCAACAGAAGCCGCGACGCCATCTGAAGCGCTTCCCACTCGTGAAAACCGTACGAGGCAAGCACGTCCAGCGACGGCTCGACGTACGCATCTACCTGCTCGGGGAGGCAGACCTAGCGTCATATATAACACATCCATAGCTAAGGACGCTAAGGGTCGAAGCCCTTACCATGTGCTGCGTGATGAGCTGGCTCCAGAGCACTTGCAGCTGCTCCGACAGTTCGTCGTCTTTTCGCTCGTCGTCCATGAAGCTCGTGCACATGGTCACCTGCGGCAAGGCATGAGCGGCGCTTGGGCCACGCTGTTTGTACCAGAGCCAGGGCGATCTCGGCCGAGACGAACGACGACTGCTGCCACTTGGTCGTGTGCGGGGCCGACGGGCTCGGCAGCGGCACTGTCAGCGCTTTCGCCGCGCCTGTGATCGCCATCGAGTAGGCCAATGACGGCGCATGCACGTCTATCGAATGACATCTGAGTCCTTCTGCAAAATAAGACGAGACAACGTACAGAGGTAGCGCTCGACGAGAGCGTCAATGCGGGCGTCGAGTCCCCAGGACAGCGCAAACGACAAGAATGTCGCGTCGAGAGCCGTCCCCGTCGACTAGATGTGTGTTACTATATACCAAAAAGAGGGTGTAGAGCAGTGCACCGAAGCAGATGGCGACGCCCAGAGGCGCTGCAGTCGCTCGACGGTCGCCCGTAGCTCAAACGTCATGACGTGGACCATCGGAGCCGACAGCGGGGACGCGATCGTGACGGGATCGCGCGCCTCCTCGGCGGGTGCTGACGCAGGCACCATGGCCGATGGCACGATGCGCTCAAGAACCCCCGTGCGCAGACTCCAAATGTACCTATATCCAAGGTTAGATAGATGGATAGATGGATAGATGGATCGTTGGATAGATAGATCCGAATACGTACAAGAGCGCGTCGTCGCACTCGAGAAGCACGTGCTGGGTGCGAAAGTCCCAGCGAACGTCCACGACACAGCCGCCTTGGCCGACGCAGTCCATGAAAAAACCCACGTCAAGGGCGGTCGTGTCCATACGCACCGTGTAGACGCTCACCTAGGAATCGTTGCATCAAGATATGGACACAATCGGTGGCTACCGCATGGTCGTCGCCCACGCACGCGACGAGGTGCCCGAGCGGGCTCGGGCCGCTCACGTGAATCGCTCGCACCGCTTTGCGGTGTCGATGAAACGAGTGGAGGAGCGTCGCCGACGGCACGACGACGCCGGCGTCAACACTACGACGAGTATCAACTTGATAGTTGCATCGAGTCGACGCACCGAAGGCGAATCTGGGAGACACCCACACTGCCATCGCGACTGCCTGTGAAGAGCAGCACGACCATGGGCGTCTCGGACAAGGTCTCGGCCGACGGCGGCGATGACCTTGGCGGCGACAGCAACGCCGCCTTTGGCGTCGAGAGGTGCGAGTGCTGGAGCTTGTGCAACAGCAGCGAAATGCGCTGCAGCTTCTCGGTCGACGGGTATCGCACCGACGACGTCGGGCTGTCGGCGTAGCCCTCGTAGAGCGGCGCGGCCGCCGCATGCGGCGTCGACTCGACCGCATTAACAATGACGTGGCCGATGCTCGTGATCGCGCTGCTGAGACAGTCGAGCGTGATGTGCGGCGCGCCGACAAGCGGGCATAGCGAAATGTGCCCGTCGTCGTACCCATGAATCTATGCAAGCTGGTTGATACATTGATACTCGACGGAAAGACCCTACCAGGAGAGGCGTGTTCCACAGCAAGGAGGCGGGCGCCGACGCGCCTACCCCATGTAGCAATATAAAAATCGATGACGCACCAAGCGACGCGTACCGGGTGCGGGCTTCTTGCCCATGACCATGTGGGATACGCGCGGTGGTGACGGCGTTGGCGTCGACAGTGGCGTTGGTGCGCTTGTCGTCGCCGAGGACCGCCATGTGCAGCCAGAGGGACACACGTACGTGATCCCGGCGTTGGGTGTGCACGCAATCGTGCCAAAGGACGTGGCAAACGGTGGGCGGCGACAGGCACAAGCGGGCACGGCGCACAGAGGCACGTCAGGCAGCTTCGCCGTTCGGAGCGGGCGGGCCGTCGACGTTGGCTTCTCCGCGTCGGTGGCAGGCGCGGTGAACAGATACAAGAAGGTCGTGGTGCTGCCGTCAGCGTCGGTGGCCAATGAATCGACGGCGGGAAAGCTGTAGACGCGATTGTCGACCGTCCACAACAGCACGTGCTCGTCGTCTGCGAACGTGCCATCGACCCACTCGACGTCGTCGGTTGCTTGAATACAGTGTGGCAGCATCGTCGTCTCGTCCTCGATGCTGTGGAAGAGCCACGCGCGCTGGAGGATGGCCCAACGGTTGGACCAAACGAAGAGCACGAGCCGACCGTTCGGGCTCAGTCGCGCCTAGAGCGACGATGCTAAGAAGCCTAAACATGTCGCGTACGTGGAGCGGGAAGAGGTCGACGTGCAGCCAGTTGGTCGCGGGATGGATCGATGTCTCGATGCACGTAATGTCGGACGCTTCGCTCGACCACGAGATGACCCACGACGCCGCTTGGGTCCACACAAAGGTCGGGCACGGATCGGACGCCGACGACGACGTGACGATCGGCTGCGTCCAGCCAAAGCAGCTCACCAAGCCTTCCATGCCCAGCGAGAGAAGGACGGCGTCGTAGGCCATCTACACAAGACAGCACCGTCATACCATAATGCTGGCGAAGGCTGTAGTACATGCGACGTCTTGCGACATGGCGCCACGGCGACGTCAATGCGCGCTTGGTGCATGCTCGTGCCGGGCGACGCCAGCACGATGGCCTTCCAAGCGTCGAGCAACACCATGCGCCCTAGAAAATGCTGTTTGTTGCGCCCGACGGGCAAGTGAGGATGATGCATACCTTGCTCGCCGTAGACGAGCATGTAGCGGTCGTTCGACACGATTTGCATTCTACAAGGCGCCGTGATAGAGCGAGGCAGCGGAATGGAATTCCGTACCCGAGCACTGGCGCAATGTCGGTCGCCGCCGCCTGCAACCACGCGAGGCAGCGCCCATCCGAGAGCTGCCACAAGCCGATGGCGCCGTTGACGTCGACGCTTGCGCAAATGGCCTGGCCCCATTCGTTGGTCCCGATGACGAGGCCGGCGATCGGCGCCTTGTGTCGAAGCAGGAGCGCGGCGAGGCGCCACGTCGTTGTCCCCGCCGTCGCCCGGAAGAGGAGGAGCACGCCGGTTGCCGTGCCGCAGACCAAGGCGGTCGCCGCGCTCTCGTCGCTTCGAGCGACGCAGGTTGTCGTCACGCGCAGCGATAGGTCTCGCAGCGCGCAGTGGCTCCACACGGCCACGGGCAGGTGCATGCTTGGTCGTCCGATGAGCGATCTTGGCCAGTGCCACGCCAGGATTGGTTAAATATATCTATTTTTCAGCCAATCGCAATGGAATCCCGAAGGCGCTAGCAGTCATCATCTATGGTAACGTTAGGGCAAAATGAAGTCTCAACATGGTGTGCCGAAGTGCGTAGGACGTGCATAGTGCACGAGCCCGCAAGGGTGGAAGGCATCCGCACTGTCCAAGCTACGACACAGACATACCGCCAAGTTGCACGCGGCCCCGATACCAAACTGAAATCAAAAAGCGCGACAGCACCCTGCACAAACCTTCTACACGGGTCAAACCACTGCGCATGCTACGTAGGAAGACCGCTAGATGGCTCATATGCCCTATCTAAACCGCGAAGCTCGACCACACTCTGCCCCAAGAAAACACGAGGTTTGGGGCATGGTGTACATGGTTCCGTACCCGACGAGTCCAAACTACTACTAGTACACACGTACGACACAAACTCACCTCAGATTGCACGCCACCCCATGCGAAGCCTTAACCGAAGAGCTCCACCAGAAACCACCAAAACCGACCCCAAGAAAACACGAGATTAAGTGACGCTGTCGTAACATTGTTACGATGTTGTTGTAACACTATTGTCGCGACCGCTGTCGCCACTGTCGCGACGACTGTCGCGACCACTGTCGCGACCACTGTCGCGACGTTGTCGTAACACTGTCACGACGTTGTTACGACACTGTTAGGACGTTGTCGCGACGTTGTTGTGACGTTGTCGCGATTCGTTGGAACATTATTGTCGCGACGTTGTTGAAATGAGTTATCAACATGCAATTATATAGTGAAGATGGTGGACTTCCTAATGCGCTCATGAGGTTTGGCCGGTATGTCAAGCTGAGGGCGCTTGGTCG